TCCTCCATATCCTGATAACATTTTTCCAAAAGACTAGGTTAATGAATTTCTAATATTGGCGATCAAAGTCAAAACTTACGTGGGGGAGGGCAGAGAAGGGAGGTGAGCCAACCCTGAGTTCAAGGTTTCTTTCCTGAATGGCTTGGGGAAATGATACAACTGACAGAAATAAGGAAGTGGAATGATGAGGTGGTTTTGTATGTGCGAATTAAGGAATGGACAGTCAACTGAGTCAAGTGCTCTGGGCCAAGGAGATTGATCGAGCAATGGCCCACTGGCAGTTAATGAGGTGGTCTTTGACGACCGCACTGACAACTGTGTCAGAAGAACAGCGATGGAAGCTGGGAGGCAAAGCTGAAAGCAAAGAGTCGTGAAGTTATGGGAAGCAGTATGTGTGCTATTTAATTAAGAAATCTGGCAGTAGGGAGAATGAAACAGAATGGTAGCTGAAAAGGGCAGGAGGATCAAATAAAGGATTTTCATCCCAAGATAGGAAAGGCTCTTGTATATTTCATAGGCAGAAAGAAAATAACTAGTAGAGACACATACGCTTTGGCATGAGGGTCAGGATAATTATAGAGGCAAGGTTCTAGAAGAGACAGGAAGAGAATGGGACTAAGAGCAAACAGAGTTTGGCCTTACAACAAAGGGAAGAGACAGACCTCTCCAAATGAGTCTATGTTCTTGTCATTTCCTCTAACTCATATTCATGCCTTCCATTTATTTGTATACTGTGCAACTAAACATCCACAGCTGTCCTCACAGCGGCTCTCAAGTTAGAACCTTCTTCATCACCACTTACTGACCATGTGCCAGGCAATTTATATATCGTTATCTCATGAGAAGGCTGCAGTTGTCATTCCCATCTTAGAGATGAGGAGTGAGGGAAAAGATTTTATAATTTTAAGTCTTTTAGTGCTGTTTGACTTTTATCCTGGAATAGGGGCTCTTTTAATTGATCATTACTTAACTGAGGGGTAAAATCCACTGAGCCTGGCCTGCTTCCTGTTCTTGGAAGGCAAGCTCTTCCCGCACACACTTTACACTTATGTACAAACTGTTGGACCACCTGGCCAACCTCATGTCCAAATCCTATCAGGTGGAAGGCGTTCTATGACATGTTCTTCTTAAAATAAAAGCAAATGAAAAAAAACTTGTACAGAGGACTTTGCATTTCTAATAACAAAATTTTCCACTAATAGGGGTAAATTAGAGCATGTGATGCTTGATCTCGAGGTTATGAGTTCAACCCCCACACTATATGTAGAGATTACTTAAAAATAAGTCTGAAGGGCCCTTGGGTGGCTCAGTCGGTTGGGCAGCTGACTCTTGATTTGGCTCAGGTCATGATCCCAAGGTTGTGAGATCAAGCCCCGCATTGGGCTCTGCGCTCACAGCGTGGAGCCCACTTAGGATCCTCTGGCTCCCTCTCTCTGGCTCTCCTTAGCTCACGCTTGTGCGCACACTTTGTCTCTCTAAAAAATAAATGTTAAGAAAAAATTTTTTGTAATCTTACAAAAAACTCCCACTAGTAAAAAGCAAAAAGAACTAATATTAGTGCTGAGGTGATGACTCAGTCTTCTCGGTGAAGGTGAGATCACTGGATGGAAGGTTCTGGATGGAAATAAAAATCTGACCCCCTCTAACCCAACCCCCACACAGTAGCCAGTAGCCTCTTTAGGATCTCTGTGGTCTGATCATGCCCTTGCTTCCTTCCTTGGTGTCCCATGCCCTCAGCACAGAGTCCAAGACATCTAGGGGGAGGGGTTATGAGACATTATGACCTGACCCCATTTATCTCTCCAGACTAAAGGGCTATCCCTATCCCATGCCACTCCCTCCCCTGCACTCCCACTCCCCACCAGCTACAGCCAAACTGATCTTAAGTTGTGCTCCCTTTGCCTCTCTGAGGCTTTGCACCAGCTATTTTTCCTGGCTGAATTGTTGCCCCTTCCCTTCTTTATCTGGCTAGATCCCAGACCTCATCCCTCAGGCTCCATCATATGTCATCGCTTCCAGGAAGTCTTCCCGACTTCCATACCTAGGTGTTCTCATAGCACCTTTCCCACTGAAAGTCTTGCTGGTCCCCCAAAACCCACACTTCCTGGCAACTGTCTTCCCCTCTGCACTGACTGTGGGCTGACCCTTTGAAGTGCTTTAGCCAACAGAGTGTGGGTGCAGGTTCCAGGCCCAAAGCTCAAGAAGCCCGGCAGCTTGCACTTCTGTACATTCAGAAGCCCTGAGGCACCATTTAAGTTCAGCCACCCAGCTGGAGCGGCCCTGAGACTATACGGAGAAAGAAAGAGGCTCAGCCGTTCCAGTGTCCTGGGTGCACCTTCACAGGACTCTGGCCGCCGCTCGGCTGCTGTCTGACTGCCACCTCATGAGAGACCTGAAGTGAGACCAGCGGAATTGTCCAGCTGAGCCGTCAATCCACAGAACTGTGAGAGATCAGCATTGCTTTAAACCACTAAATTTCAGAGCATTTGTTATGGTGTACTAACTAAGACACCATTCTGTATTTTAATTGTCGACTGAGTGTGTTTGCCCTGCTAGACCATTTTCTCTGTGAGGGCAGGGGCCATATCCATTTTTTAAAAAATTGGTATGTACTCAGGACATTCTCCAGCACAGAAGAAGCACTAATATATTTGATTAATGTAAATTAAGAATCTCTCCAAAAATAAAGACAACAACAAAAAAAATGGCTGGAACACTTGCTGTGATGAGTATACAATGTCATCAACAAAAGGTAATGAACTGGATATCTGGGCAGGAGGTTCCTGATGTTAAGTTAGACAGCTTATCTCTGTGGAAGGATTGGGTCAAATTGACTGGGCCACAAGCCAACACCAGAGCACAACCTTGGGAGCTGAAGAAGAGAATGGCCAAGAGCTTTAGCAAAGCCACAGGCAAGGGAACAAAGTTGTCATTCTGATGGCGCTCCTCTGGGTAACACTGAACAGGTGATCTGCTGGCCAGGGAGGTCTCCAGCTGTCCTTGCCAGCTACACAGTGGTTAGTTGTTTAGATTTCTAGGGACAAGAGATGTCATAATGTCATTTTACACATGGAAACAGATACCTCATCTTCACGGTTTTTCAACTAGCTTCAAACATGAAGGGCCCTCAATGTTTGTATATGGAATGAATACGTTCCTACCCGAATCGATAAATCCCTGATTGGGGTCTGGTGCTCTTGTCTGGAATTATCATCAGCACAAGGGTGTCCAGTCAACAGACATTGTTTGACAGTTTCTGTCAAGCTCTATGCGGGACACAAAATGGGAAAATGCCATCCCTGCCCCGAGGGAAAGAACTGGGGAGACTAGACTTACACAAATGGGATAATTAAATCACAGGACAACATATAATTACTGCTAAATTGTGTGGTAAGAAATTAAGTGCTACAGGAATTGGGAAAAGCAGAGCGAGGGCTCAAACAGTTGGGGAGTATTCACTGAAGAGCTAGATGTGGCCAAGCCTCAGGGCATGAAAAGAACTGCAGAGAAGCTGACAGAAAGAAAGGTGCCTAAGTCCCTGGAGAGAGAACAGAGCCAAATCAGTTATTTTGAGGCAGCAACCCAAGGAATGTGAAAGGTGCCTGCCCCAAATCCCAAAGCAAGGATATCTCTGAACAGTTTCCCAATATTTGCACTCCTGGGCCTTTATTTACTCAGTTTTTTCTCCTTGCAGTGGGCTTCTCCCTTCTCTGCCTAGGAAACTCTTACTCCTATGTAAAGATCCAGCTCAAATGTAACGACTTCTCTGAATCTTTCTTCAGTATCCCATAGCCCAGTACTCATGCTGCTATTGGAACAGGTCTATTGTTTTTGCCTTCTCACCGCCTCTGTCACTGCAATTAACAGCAACTTAACATTTATTAGGCTCTTACTATGTGCTAGGGGCTATGCTAAACATTTAAATGTATTATTTAATCCTCACAATTATTTCATGAGATATTTTTTCTCCTATTTTATGGATGAAGAAGCTGAGGGTTAAAGTGGTTAACTGCTGTAGAACACATAGCTAGAAAGTAAGAAAGCGAGGATGCAAAGCAACTGTGACACTCCAGAGGCCATTCTTAAAACACTGGACCAAGTGTTCCTGGACGCCACAAATGCTCTTTACTCATCTGTCTTCTCAGATGCTAGGATGTGGCTGCCACATGGTTCAAAAACTGCTGAACAAATACAACTCTCCCATCACAAACCAGGTCTAAAAGGAGGTGATCCTGGCCAGCTGTTAGCCCAGGTGTAGGCTTTCCTGGGAGAAAGGAGGAGAACGTCTAAGAGTCTTACATCTGAATTTGAGTTCCTTTATTTCACAGATTTACGTTTGGTGAAAGAAGAACCATTCTCTTCCACTCAAAAGGACGCAGAGAGAACATGGGTTGGGTCTGAGGATGAGGGCTCTGATGAACAGGTGGGTGTGTGTATGCGAGGGCGGGGAGTCTCCTCTTAGGTATTTCGAAAGCCACTCAAGTTGTTACTGTAGCGCCAGGAAGGACTACTCGAGATCCCTTCATCTTATCCTGTCTTGGCGCAAGCTGAGGCCAAGACAGGGGAAAAGGTCGTCAGGTGGCTAGCTGCATGGCTACAAAAAGATGAGCCGGCGCTAGAAGCCCGGAATCCCAAACGCTGCCTGCGTAGTTTTTCATCCCGACCCGAATCTCCTAGTCGAGGCCCTAGGACTGGAAAGCTCGGTCTACGGCCTTCTCTCGTCGGACCCTAGCGCTCCTCTCCGCCCAGTGGCCCTGCTTACTCCCGCCTAGTCCAGGAGTGGGGCTGGGGAACACTGTTCCCTTTCCGCGTCTGCACGGTGTATGCAAGGTCGTCCCGCGCTATCGAGTCCGTCCTTAGCCCCGCCTCTCCTCGGTCTAGTTTCGGACTCGGTTTGGCTTCGCCACCTGAAATCCCACCCCCACCCGCCCGTCACTCCGCGTTCTCCCCACTCTCTTGCGGGCGGCAAGCGACGCCTCTTCCAGGGGAGGCCGGGCCCACGTCTTCGCCCTCGCCGCAGTTCACCTCCCCACCGGTCCCAAACACGCCTACACCCCGACTTCCTTTTGCGCCCCGCGGGTCTTCCGGCCGGGCTCCTTTGTAATTGGCTGGCTAGGAGCTTCCTCGGGACTCGGCCATTCGGAGGGCGCGACAGCGGCCCCTCTAGTCTCCGCCCCGAGGTCTGGCCTCGCTCTTCGGACTGCGAACTCTCCATGCTATTGGCGACGACATGTGGCGCCTCCCGGGACTCCTGGGCAGAGGTAAGGGGCGTCGGAGCCGCGCGTCTAGAGGCAGGTGAAACTCGGAACTGGAGGAAGGGGGCGGGGCAGAGCATGGAGCCGCAGCCTGAGCCGGCAGGGTTAAAGCTGAAGAAAGGCGGGGCCCAAAGGGGCGGGGCTGCGCCTGTCCGCTGGGGCTGTTAGAATTTGAGATGTGAGTGGGTCTCGTGGGGAAAAAAGGGTGGAGCTTAGGGCCACGGAGGTGGGTGGGGCCACTGAAAGGAGGAGGGGTCAAATAGCAGGTGTTCAGAGTCCGGGAAAGGTGAGTAGGGCCCAGTGGAGTAAGCGGAACCAAAGAAAACAGGCGGGATTTAGAGACAGGGCGCTCCAAACATCGAGCGAGAGTTTGTGGATGAATGTCTGGTAATTTTACAACGGTGGTTGTCTTCCCCGGGAGGACATCACAGTCACCGGAGGAGCATTTTCAAAATATGCCCTGGATGATCCTGGTTTGTTGGTTCTGGGTGGGACCTCAGAAACTGTACTAGGCAAAAGATTCACACTTAAGTCGTTGTTTAAGAACTTACACAGTGGTATATGTCAGTGATTCCTGCGTTCCAGGAGTGGGGTTCTGTCAAGGGAGAGAGGAGATGGTTGGGCCGTTCATGTCGAGATGATTGATCTTTGTTATTATACACAGCTCTTCCCCGTCTGCTGGGACCCGGCTTCCGCGGGCTGACTCCAAAGTCCACCAACCCAGATGGGCCTCAGGCTGCCCCCGCCACTCTGCTGGTCCCTGTCCCCAGCTTTGACAGGTGAGATATTACCATTTTGTCACCCATCTCTTCCCCTGACATCCCCCCCCCCCTCCCACTTAGGATGGAGCTTGATAGCCTTTTTTGCTTCATGTAGGTCAGGCCCCCATGGCCGAGGCCCAGGCCCAAACAGAGGCCCAAAGTCCCATGGATGGAAGGATGCCTTCCAGTGGATGTCTGCCCGTGTCTCCCCAAACACCTTGTGGGATGCCATTTCATGGGTAAGGCTTCCCAGGTCCTGTCCTTGACCCTCTGTGTGGGTAAGAAAGATCTCCCATGGAATAGAGCTTAGAAACAAGAGCTAGGGCATCATTGTTCCCACACTCAAAATTTGAGTAACCCATGAGATAGGAGCACATTTAGGGAGATACTGCTGCTCCCCTTCCCTTCTGCCCTATTTCTCCTTTCTTTCAGTAAACATTTGTTTACCACCTTTTCTGAGCCAGACATTTTTGTTAGGCACTAATGAAACAGTGGAGAACAAGGTAGATGTGATTCTTGTCTTGATGAAACTTACAATGAATAATACTAAATAGCCAACATCTTACATATTAATGTAAAATAGTATATATGCATTATCTTGTTTAATCCTTATAAAAATCTTGCAAGGGAAATATAATCTCCATTTTATAGATAAGGGAACTCAGGCTCTGAAACTTTAGGCAACATATTAAGGCCCTATAGCTATTAAGTAGAGAAACTGATTTTATTCTGGAGCCCATGCTCTTAGCTACCATGCTCTATAGCTCGATTGCTATACTTAGTGTGGCTTTATAAAAGCACCTAGTACAGATCCTGGCCTGTAACAGTTGCTCAATAAATATTTGTTGACTCTGATCTATAAAGTTAGGTGCTCAGTAGTGAACACTAGGTCCAACAAGGTGGAATCTTTGCTATCCAGGTTCTGCACACATCACTCTTGTTTCTGTTGCATCTCATCCCCATCACTTTTATGCTATGTGCTTTAGGCAAGTGACTTGACTTCCCTGAGCATCATTTGTCTCATCTGTAAATTGGCGTCATCAGCAGAATGGAGCCTGGAATGTCTCCATGGTAGGGCCACTTCTCTCTAGTGCTGTGGTCTAGGGGCATAACGTACTTTGGAGAGGGGGGCATTTTCCCATTTTGTCAAAGTTCTGAGCCCTAGAGTAATTCTACAATGAGTCCTTCTAGAATCTGGGCCTGGATTCTAGGAGTCTTGATGCTGTCCATCAGCTCTGTCACTGTTGTCCCTGCCAAAGGGTACGAGCTGTCCCAGGACCCTGGATACACGTCCCTGTTATTTACATGTTGGCACTTTCTCTTTCTTCTGGCCTTAGCTCACGCATCACCCCTACAAGAGAGGCTGTCCTTAATGCCCTGTTCTGTGAGACCTCCCTCTTATGTTCTGTGTGAACTCCTGATTTGTTCCTTTTTTGGCATTTGGCATAAGTTGTCGTTATTATATTTATTTCTCTGTGTACATGAATTTTGTCTTTCTCCCTCAACAAAGATAAAAACTCCATGAGGACAGAGACTGTGACTGTCATCTTTCCCCGTGTACCCAGTGCCTGTTGTAATAGACATGTATTTGGGTATGCACAGGAAGGGACAGGGAAAACCAAGCAGTCACTGGGCTAGGAGCTAGCTTACGTCTTCCACACACCTGCCAGCGAAGAGATACCTTCAACAAGCCTGTATGTGTGGATGTGTCTGTGGTGGGGAGGCTTGGACAGAGAGAAAGGAAGAGTTGTACCCCAGGCCAGAGAAAGAGAATGAACTTGATGGGGAACTCTGACCTGTCATTGCATTTGTGGTCAAGCCCCAACTTACCACATTATCCTTTTGCGAGCCTAGACTGTATTTATTCATTCGCTCATTATGCATTTAATAAATATATGGGCGTATTTATTAGCGCTACATCTTAGCGTTTTCCTAGGCTCCAGGGATACATCGGTGAACAAAGCAGACATGATACCTGTCCTCATGGTGCTTAGAGGCTAACAGGAGAGACAGACCTCAGCTAAATAATTGCTGAGGTGATTATTTAAGTACCAGTGTGATCGAGGCTCTGCAGGGCAGGTGTGGGCACTGGGAGGGTACTAGTTGGCCTCAGCCAGGAGTCAGGAAAGGCTTCTCAAGGAAGTGGTGTGTGAGCTGAAGGGTGAGTCCGAAAGAGGTGACTGGTGCAAAGCTGGGTCCCCACTGTGCTGTCTTTCCCAGGGCACTCTGGCCGTGCTGGCCCTGCACTTGGCAAGGCAGATCCACTTCCAGTCGTCCCTGCCAGCGGGACCTCGGCAAGCAGAGCACTGCTCTTGGCGCAGACCCCTGGACCATTTCCTCTCGTCTCCCTTGTGGCATCCGCGCTCCTGTGAGTTCTCAGTCCCGGGGACAGGAGGGCTAGGCTGGGAGTTTCTCTGGGCCAGGAAGCATCTCTGGACACACCTCAGGAAAAGAGCCATCAGCAGCTCCTTGCCTTTCCTATCTGAAGTCAGAGGAAGGGGAATGTGAGGAAGTTCTACCCACCCAGGGTGTGGGCCACACCTGCCCCTCAGTGTCCTCCTGTGTCCTCCAGTCCCCTTCCATGAAGGGAGCCCTACAGGGATCCAGGCTGCTTTAGATTCTGGGTGTGGCTTCCTGCTTACCCTTCCACTGTGACCCTTCAGGTCATTTTCTGGTCAGTCATTCATTAATAAGTGAGTCTTCATTGAAAAGCTGTTATGTACCATGGCACACAGGCGATACAGCCAGCAGTTAAGGCCCTGGAGTTAGTGTCAGAGTTCAGGCCCCAGAGCTGGTACATACTAGTCTTGTGTCTCTGAACAAGTCACTTTCATCTCAATTTTTTCACCCATAAAATGGGATAATAATAAAATCTGCCTCATAGGTTTCTTGGGAGGATTAAATGAGTTAATACATGTCAAAGTGTTAGAGGAGTGCCTGGCACATAGTAAGTGCCCGGTAAGTTCCAGGTCTTGTTCTTATGACTATAATCATTATCAATATTACCATCAAATAGAGTGCTAGGTGTAGGGACTACAGCAGTGAGTAAGGTGGATGCCTCCTGGCCACTGGAAGAATTCAGGCAGAGGAATCATTTATACCTAGGGCAAGAGATGCACATAAATGTAGGCCCCTCTTGGCCCCTGCAGAGGGAAGCCAGCAAAAGAAGTGATGGAGGAGGAGGTAGAGGTGTGTGAAGGAGTGTCTCAGGAGATTCCACATTCTTCCCCCAAACCTCAGGGGACGCTCAGTCAAGCCTGAGCAGACTGAACTGATCCCCTGCTGATGTGACTGCTCTTACTGGGTCTTTCCAGCCCTTTGCAGGCACGTTCTCCCCAGCGCTCATGGCCCAGCTCCCAGACACACTGGCCTCGGGGAACCCAGGCTAGGCCAGGAAGAACCCCCGACTCAGCCCAAGAACCTCTCTTCACACAGCTCTTTGAGGGCATCTGGTCTTCAGGATCTCACTGAAGAAGGTATGTTTTTACCTCCTAGAATCAGCTAGAGGTAGAGGGGGTAGGGATTGGGCAGATGGACAGCTGTCGTTGCATATGCCAGATGAGGGAGTTGTCATTCCTATGAGGGCCCGCGCTTTCTGGGGCACTTAGGAATGAGTTTGTTTCCTGGTGGTAGTGCTGGCCGGAGGGGCTGGGGAGACCGGCACAGTGGGAGAAAAGGAAAAACCACACTGTCCCCTTCACCGTGGCTGGGTGTCCCCCATTTCCCTTGCAGATCCTGGTGATCTCAGCTTCCTGCATGCCAGCAGCAGCTTCAGTTCCAGGGCAAAGCCAGACCAGCCTCAGTCCACCGGTCAAAAGCAGGTATTGTTCAGATGTGGCCTCCAGATCCTCATAACATTCCCCTGGGCAGGTCGCAGTTCTGGCGAACTGTCCTGTGATGAGTCTTTCTTTTTCTTCCCCAGGAACAAGATAAATCAAAAACTCTTCCCCTCGAGGAGGCTGTGACTTCTATTCAGCAGCTCTTCCAGCTCAGCGTTTCCATTGCTTTCAACTTCCTGGGTAACTGGGTCGACCTTGCATCAAGGCAGGCGGGTGGGAAAATGGAAAGGGTAGGGGGCGGTTTGAACTGAGAGAATTTATTTTCTCCCTGGGTAGGTAGAGCACATCTGGCATGGTGGCACGGGATGTCCGGGACCCACCCTCATGATTCTGCCCGTCCTTAAGACTGGCTTCCATCTTAAGGTCCAGTTTGGCTATTGCAGCTTTCTTTCTGGAAGAGGATAGGTGGGAAAACCAAAGGACCACTCCTTCCCCACCTACAGAGTTGCACAAATCAATGTCCAGGATGTAGGCCTATGGCCACACCTAGTCACAGAGGAGATTGGGAAATGTAGTCTTTAGCTGAATGACCATGACCTTACCTGAACATTGTTACTGTGTAAGAAGGAGAAGATAAATCTGGGAGGATGCCTTGCATTTTCTGACACGTTGAGGCAAGAACAGACTCCTAAGATCTGGAGCAGGCTCTCAAGTGCACAGACAGGAATCTCTTACCCACATCTGGAGATTCTAGATGCCCCTCCACCATTTGTTTTGTTCTCTACAGTGACTTGGCTTAAGTTTTGGGCCTTTTAATGCAGCGACTCAGACTGCCAACAGCATCTGTCGGAGTGCAGTGGGCAGATGCATGAGAAGGTGGGATTCATTCAGTGCAAAGCTGTTAGGCATTCAGCTTTTGCGAGGCCCTATTTTAGGTGTCAGGGATACAGGGATTCATGACACAGAGTTCTTACTGTCATGGAGCTGACATGTGAGTTGAGGGGGAGAAGAATAAAACATTGCCAAACAAAAAAGAATTTCTGATGATGGTAAATGTTACAGAGAATTGTAAATAGGGGAATGTGTCAGTGACTCAGGGAAGGAGCAGCTTTTGATCTGGAAGTCCTCACTGATGGGAAGAACTCTGCGCCAAGACCTGACTGACAAAAAAAAGCCAGTCTTGTTTCTATCTAGAGAAAGAGCTTTTCCAAACAGGGAGAATAGCAAGTACAAAGGTCCTGAGGCAGTACTGAGTTTTGCTTGTGAAAGGAATCAAAGAAAGCTGAGTGTGGCTAGAACTTAGAGATCACCAGGAGAGTAGAAAGAGAGATGCAGGGATGGGCCAGGTCAGGCAAGACCTTCTGAGCCACTGTGAAGTGTGGATTTTCTAAGCGAGATCAGAAGCCATTGGAGGGTTTTACGGTGGAACAGGAAGAGGGGCAGTCACATGATCTCATTTACCTTTTCGGATTTCTCTGGCTGTTGTGTGGACAAACGTGGAGTGCAGGGGTGCCGGAGGAAACAGGAGACTGGGTTGGAGGTGTTACTGATGGCACAGCAAAGCCACAGCACATGGTGGCTTGGTTAGAGGCAGAGGGGACAGAGAAGAGAGGCTGACTGGGGAGCCAGTGTGTGGAGAATGGGGACAGGGTGGGATCCTTTGCCCTCTTGAGTCTTCTCAAGGACAGAGGGCTCTGTGAATCCTGGGCAGTGAGTTTTCAGGCAGCAGGGAGGTAACTTTAATTCACTGCCGGCTGAATGGAACCTGGCTTCTACCTCATTAGCTTTTTGTGATTTTGATGGACCGGCAGTCTCTTCTGAGAATTTTCTTGCCCATCCCTTCATTCATATATTCATTTATTCAGCAATGCTAAGCAGTGTGGCAGAACACAAAGGGAGCACAAGGCGTCATCATATTTTGCATTTGTATAGAGCTTTCACCCTATGCAGAGTTATTTCTTCTACATTCTTTTTCTGCTTCTGCCTCCAGGATTTTGCAGTCTAATTGAGGAGACAGGGCTGTACTCTGGAAACAGTTTAGTTCATAGAAAACGGCTTGTATATTAAGTAAAATCCAAAAGAGCGTTTGAAGCCTGAGTGTGGTCTGAAGCTTCCAGAGCAGAAGCAGGATGGGGGAGCCTGATGGTAGAGGCAGAAAGATAGTCCAGGGAGGAGAGAGAGCTTGAGCAGAGGTTTGAGTTGGGACTTGGCCGTGCCCAGCCCCGTCTGTGTTTTTTGTCTGCTCAGTTTGTTCGGATGATAAAACGGAACATGGGCTTTGCTGTCGGACACACCTGAGTTCACGTCACAGCTGTCTTCCTTTCTCTCTCACGGTTTCCTCCTATAGCAGGGTTAACAGGACCAGCTGTTACCAGTAAGATTTAGTTCCTTACAAGCAGCCTAAACCCACTCTGGCTAACTTAAGCACAGAAGGAATCCACTGGGAAGGCTCCAACAGAACAGGAATTGGGAAGGTCCTGGGATCCAGGGGGCAATAACAGGGACAGTGTCTTCAGAGTTTTGCTGTCACGATAAACCTGCGAAAGCTATTTTCTCTCCTGCCTCAACCAGATCCAGATCCAGATTCCTGAGCGAGGGACTTACTGGTTGGGAAGAGCATAGCACAATGATTGACAGCCCTGGGTGGGGAAGCGGAGGGCTGCTCCTAAGGGAAAATCGGGGTGCTGGTACCACGAGGCGGATGTTATATAGGAAGACAGAAGCCACTGATGTCTCTGACAAACCAGTGAAATACTCGGAGGCTGCAAACATGCAGAGTGTGTAGCACAGAAAAGAAAGGAAGCAGCTTATGAGAATCTGGCCAAGGATGGGGGAAGGTTCACAGAGAAAGTAGTGTTTATGCCCTGTGCTTTCTTACAGGGACAGAAAACATGAGGAATGGGAACTACATGGCGGCCTTTTCTTACTTCCAGAAAGCAGCAGACCGTGGCTACAGCAAAGCACAGTACAATGTGGGCTTGTGTCACGAGCATGGCAGAGGCACCCCCAGGGACCTTGGCAAGGTACTGCACCTTCTCTTTGTCCCCAGGCCTGTCTTCTGAGCTGCCCTGCCCAGAGTTGACCTCCAGAAATGAGCAGCGGGTGGGGCTTAGGGAGAGTTCACCTCCTCTCTCCCAGCAGTGAGGGAAAAAGAAGAAAGAAGCTCCTAACTTCTAGGGATTTCGATTCAGAAGGAGGCCAGGGACCTAGTCTTTTTTCTTGCCAGCTGTATTCTCAGGACCTAGAACTTTACCTTGATGAATGGATTATTCATTCTAAAAAAGTAGGATAACTACCCAAAGATGTTATATACAAGAATGTACTTCTTAGAATTGTATATGATGGCAAAAAAGGAAAGCAACTTAAAGTTCTTCAATAGTAAGTTGGTAGTAATATCCATGTGGGACTTAAAAATGATGCACCAGGGGCAGCTGGGTGGCTCAGTCTGTTGAGTCAGCTCAGGTCATGATCTTCAGGTCAGCTCAGGTCGTGGGCTCGAGCCCTGTACCAGGCTCTGACAGCACAGAGCCTGCCTGGGATTCTCTCCTTCCTTCTCTGTCTGTTCCTGCCCTGGTCTCTCAAAATAAAGATTTAAAAAACGATGCAGTAGATCTATATTGGCAGGGAAGGACATTAGTGGTGTATTGTTAAGTGGAAAAATAGGTTACAAAACTGTGGGCGTTCTCTCTCTCATTTCTCCCTGTGTGCGCGCGCGCGCGCGCACACACACACACACACACACATAAATGTGTGTGTGTACGTATATGTCTACATGCGTAAATACATGTATATGTGAGAAGAAATTTGCAAAGCTATAAACTAAAGGGTGAACAGAGAATGATCTTTAGGAGGCAGGATGTTTTTGGGATTTTATGTTTCTATTTTTGGTTTATCTGTATTTTGAAACTTTGGCTTCTCTGTATTTTCTGATGAATCTGTACTGATGATGTATTATTTAATTAAAATAATTTTTACAAAGTTCACCCAAAGAGAAGGCTGGCTTGCAGGGGTACCGGTTGACTGGGTGTCTGTCCCTTTGTCCCAGGCAGTCCTTTCTTACCAGCTGGCTGCCAGCCAGGGCCACCGCCTGGCTCAGTACCGCTACGCCAGGTGCCTGCTGCAAGGCCCAGCCTCCACATGGGGCCCTGAGCGCCAGAGGGCGGTGTCCATGCTGAAGCAGGCTGCACACTCGGGCTTGAGAGAGGTGAGTGCCCGGGGTAGGGGTGGGGGTGAGGGGATCTCTTCTGGGCTCCTGGAGCACGCAGGGCCTGGAACTGACCGAGATGCCTTTTTCCTTCCTCCTGAACCACAGGCTCAAGCTTTCCTCGGGGTGCTTTTCACCAAGGAGCCACACCTGGATGAGCAGAGAGCTGTGAAATACCTTTGGCTTGCAGCCAACAATGGGGTATGGGCTTGCCAGTGTCCAGGCATGTTGGGGATCGAGTCTGATGAAAGAGGGGATCTTGGAACTGGTACCAGGCTCCTACTGAGCATAGGAGATGGTTGACAGGAACACTGGGCCAGCCTCAGGTCTTAACCGTTGCTGACTTGCTCTGTGACCCTTGGGCAGTTCTGGTGGGGCCCTGGAGCCGGCCCACAGCAGTCTATGAGAGCTGCCGGTAGTTTAAAATCAGCTGTGGGTGAGGTCTTGGCACCACAGAAATGACGACATGCTCAAGAGCAAGGTCTGTGTCACCGCACAGCCAGTTGCCACCTTTACCAGCCTACTACTTGGCGGGTCACTCCTTGTTTCCCTAGTCTCAAAAACTGGGATAGTAATGACTGCCTTGCCTGTCGATTGCTTCACAGAGGTGTTGTTATGAGGAGCAGACTGCAACTGAGGTAGCAGGTGTGCAAGCACTTGGTCAGCTGTGCACGGGGAAGGTGCACCCTCACGAGCCGTGCAGTTGGGGAAGTCAGAAGACACCGAGCAGTTTCGGGGGTGGCAGGTGCCTGGGGGCATTGGCATTCAGGCTGCAAGAGCTAGAGTTTGTTCCCCAGAGTATTAGTTTCATGGGGGTGTTCGTAAGTAAGAGGAGGGAAAACATGGTCAGATGGGTTTGGAAAATACTGCGTTAAACAGGTGTCTTCAGTGCAGGAGATTTCGGAGCTTCACCTCAGTGTGAATCACCAAAACGGCATCTGTGGTTTGCTGTATTCCTCACATGTGCTTGAGCAGGAATTTTTTGGGTGCTGCATCCTGAAGGAGCAGGAATAATATATACTGGATTAAAGCAAGCCGTGTGCACATCCTACAATTTCCCTGCATTGGGGCTGCTGGTTCTAGGTGTTTTCTGGCCAACACAGTGATACCTGATTGGACCTTTGGGCATCAGAATACTTTTTTGTTTTTACTCTGTTATCTTTAGTAACCTGTAGCTTTCAGAAGGGGACCAATGTCACCAACCAGTACTGCCTCTGCCTTCCTTGATAGAGTCCCGGCTCTATCTCGGGCTGAGTGTGTCTCACCTTCTCGTGTGCTAGACCTGCCCGAGGGCACCTTGGCCTGCTTTGGTCAGCACGCTGGGAGAAGTGCACACAGGGTGTTGGGTGCAGTCCTCACATTCACCCACCCCAGAATAATGTATCTTTATAGGTCTGTACTGAGCAGAGTCGCAGGGTGGCTGTTTTGGCCTCATGAATGTCCTGAGCTGTGTTCTAAGCTTGTCTACGGCCATGAGTCCACTGTATTTATTACATAGACTTTGGCCTGCATGTTACAGAAACTCTCTCCAGAAATGTGATTCTAGAAATTAGAAGAGAGATGGGACCATGGCTGGGAATCAACAGAATATTTTTTTTTAAGTTGGGCACTTGAATATAATGGTCACATTCCAGTGAAGAGAGAGAAATTAATGGTGTGGGCAACTAAAATAATACGAAAAAAATAATAACAGTAAGCACTTTTAATGTATTAACAAGTAATTTTCATAACAATTCAATCAGGTAGGTGTTATTATTATTTCCCACTTTATAGATGAGGACACTGAGGCACGGAGGCGTACAATAATACGCCTGAGGTTACATAGCTGGCAGGTGGTAGAGCCAAGGTTGGAACCCAGACGGTCTGGCTCTATAGGTTATGCTCTTAAGCTCTACCTGCTACTGTAATGATCATAGTTTTTAGTAAGAGGAGAGAGGATCCAGCACTTTGGGTAAAGGGATTATTAGACTTTGAACCTCTCAAAGGAGGGATACTTGCTGTAGTGTATGTTTTGCAGCCCCTGGGCAGACATTCAGAAAGGCATATGGGGCCTTCGAGAAGCCTTGCCTCTACCCTGGCTCCAAGCTCCTGACTCCCAGGCTCCCCACAGTTGGGCTGGTCGTTCCCCATGGCCTTCACTTGTGCCTGCCTTGAGCACCAGCCTCAGCGAGAGGCTGCCACGCTGCCACTCAAATCTCACTGGGCAGGGGGATCCCCATCTCCTCTGTGTGGGGCACACACTGGGCCTCTGCCTTTTCATACTTGAGATATGTTGGTACAGGGAGGGCTCGGACTGGACCTTGAACTTGGATGGATGAAGCCCCAGCTTGCCCAAGTGCCCCACCTTCCTCCTGCCTTAGCATTACATTTCTTCTCTCCTGCATGTGTGCATACCTGTATGTCTGTCTGTTTTCCCTTCTAGGACTCACAGAGCAGGTACCACTTGGGAATTTGCTATGAGAAGGGCCTTGGTGTGCAGAGGAATCTGGGAGAGGCTGTGAGATGTTACCAGCAGTCAGCGGCTCTGGGCAATGAACCAGCTCGGGAAAGGTTGCAGACCCTCTTTTCCATGGAGGCAGTGGGTAAAGGTGCATGTCAGAGCCAACAGGTTCCCTTCCCTGAGCCCAGTGCCCTATGACAGAGAAGGAGGTGGCAGTAGTCCCTGGTGCCCATGTCATTTCCTACCCCAGTGATGGATAAGAGCACAGCTTTTTGAGTCAGACACACCTGAGCCTTAACAACCCTACTCTGTCACTGAACTCGAACTCTGTGTCTTTGAGTCTTCGGTTCTTCACTTCTGAAAATGAGGGTACTACAGGTACCTTGCCTGTTCGGTTCTAGAGGGCTTAGCACAACCTGGCATACAGTGGTTGTTGCATAAATGGTAGCTTCTCTGAGAAGTTTTTAGGAGAGACTGTATCCTGAGCTTGCCTCAGTGCCCTGAATTACCCTTCTAGGGCTCCGAGAACCCTGCTCCCTCATGAGTCACTTGGGCTGGCCAGGGTTAACAACGCCAGGGGCACACAAGCCCTTTAAGAAGTCCTTGCTCCAAAGTAGGAGCCCACAGTATGAGTAAGAGTCGCTCTCACCTCTCCTCACAGCCCTGGGGCCCAGCGACTTGGCAGTTACAGGATTGAAGTCCTTCTCCAGCCCCTCCCTCTGCAGCCTCAACAGTCTGCTGGTGGGAGCCTCACGCCTCCCACACGCCTCGAGCACAGGGAACCTTGGCCTCCTCTGTAGAAGTGGGCATCTTGGAGCCAGCCCCGGGGGGGCTCTCCACCCGCACAACTACCCCTTGGAAAGGAGTCTCGTCAGACTGGGTTTTGGCTAAGGTGAGATAAGACATAGTCACTGGTGCTGAGGGGGGGAGGGCACATAAGTTGGATGGCAACAAAAACAGGTGTCAGTGTCCCTTTCCGAGGTGGACATTCCAGTGAGAGCTGAGGTTCTCAAGCAGTTTCAAGTGCATGGCTATGACTTTGACCTTTCCCCCAGTTGATAGCCTCACAGATGAGCAGTGGAAACATTCATAGTTATTTCTGGTTCTGTGCACAGAAGGAATTCATTCAGAGACCTGTAAAAAAACTCTCCTGAAGGGTCCAGAGCCTTAACATAGCCTCTGACTTTGAATAAACCACTTTCTATTCTCTCCCATGCCTCAGTTTCCTTAGGCTTAGACTACATGAGTTTTTGCCAACATGTGATGTATGTGCCTCTCGTGGTTCACAAGAGGATTTTAGGTACTCAAATTAATATTTTCTATCTTAGTAGTTGTATATACAATATATAATGTAAAAATGTGACTAGCACATTATAGTTTGACAGATGTTAAAAATGACCCATTTAAAGAAAAACATTGTGGGGCGCCTGGGTGGCTTAGTCGGTTAAGCGTCCAACTTTCGCTTAGGTCATGATCTCGCGGTTCGTGGGTTCGGGCCCCGCGTCGGGCTCTGTGCTGACTGCCAGCTCAGAGCCTGGAGCCTGTTTCAGAGTCTGTATCTCCCTCTCTCTCTGACCCTCCCCTGCTCACGCTGTCTCTCTCTCTCTCTCCTAAAAATAAATAAAAATATATATAAAAAAAAAAAGAAAAACATTGTGGAATTGGATAAAAGGAAGCACAGGTCCAGAGAGGTGGCCAAACCCGTGAGGGTGGTTCCACAAATGGCTAAAACTTGAGGAACATTGAGTCGGGCCTTTCCCAAGATGAGCTTCAATATTCCCTTTTGTTCATCTCCAGTGGAGGTGGGATCATCTTCATCACTGATTTGGGAGGAATGAGTTTCTTGCCTACGTACCTAATATATCTGCTTGGCTTTTTCAGACCTTCTCACTTCAGCCCTAGAGACGGAGCCTGTGGCTTCTTAGAGAGCTACAACTTGAATCCCAAAGCAGAGGCCAGTTATCTACCCAGCTTTCCAAAGAACCTTAAGCGTCTGCCCTAGCACAGTAAAGAAGAAGAAAGTGTGTAAAGACCCAGGTCCTGGCCCTGTGATTTGCCTGGCTGTGCCACCTTAAGAAGCAGTGACCTGACTGACTACATTGTTTTCTCAGTTGTAGACCAAAGGCACTGGTGTCTGCCCTTCAGCCCTGCAGAGCTCATGGGGGGCATTCCACTGCAGACAGGGCCTCAGTGCTCATTTAGGCCCAAGGAGGCAGACTGAGCCAGGAGATGACCAGGCCCCCTGACTCCTGGCCCAGTGCTCTGTTTCACCAGTTCACACTAGCTTTACGTGTGTTACTGTCATGCTGCCAGTGTGAGGGAGTAAGTGGAGCCTTGGAGCCGGAAAGGGTAGATTTCAAGATCCTTGTTTGTGAAGGGTGTGCCAGAAATGGATGGGAGTTTAATAAAATAGATACTGGATTATCTCATCACTCTTGCCTTTGAGTATGTTGGGGAGAACCGGGGCTGGGGCAGGGGGGGCTGAAAGCAGAGGCTCCAGCCTCCACTCTAAACTCTCCATTAACCAATTTGAAGGGTCTTAAAAGCTTCTCCAAGAAAGAGACTTAGGAAAAAATGATTTCTGAGTCAACACTAATGACTCCAATTACTGAATCTGTGAATAGCTATTCCCTGGCTTCTGGATGTTAGCCCAAGTTCAATAGCATGATGTGGTTGAGGGTGGGGGCTGGGAGGGACCAAACCCTCTAGTAAAGGTTCAAATGTGAAAAACCACCCAGCTTGGCCAGTTCAGAGGTGGAAGGAGTTGTGGGTGGAGGTTGTCTTCTCTGCTGCCGCACCCCTCCAACCTCTGGTGGCTCTTGTCACACTTTTTTTCTAGCACCTTCCTCTCGCCATTGGAGCACTAAGCTTCTTTCAGCTCTAGCGCCTCCCCTGACTGCTGCTCCCTTTCCAGAACTGCCCCGCTCGCTAGCCTTCCCATCCCCACATTTGTGCAGCTGCCTCCCACAGACAGCTCCTTGGGCTCTGGGACCTTGTCTTTGTGTTCTGGTATCCTCAGAACTTAGTACAAGGCCCCATGCTACTAGGGGCTCGATATGCACATTGGTTAAAGCTCAGGTTTTTAAGCTGTACAATGCACTAATCTCTCTGTAAGAAAAAGTTTCTGTGGTCAAATAAGTTTGGGAAACGCTGTACCAGACATCCCTTTTTTATAGATTTACAATGCACATCAGCATCTTTAAGGTTACAAGAAGTCCTGCAGTCAAGGACTTGGTTAACCCCACGTTCGCCAGCCTGAGCTGAGCACAGAGCCCAGCCTCACACAGATTGCCAATCAAACTTCTGGGGCATTCTGTAAAATGTCATCTCCTGCCCTCCTGTGGGACCCCACTCCCCAGCCTCCACCCCTCCTCTTGTCATTTTGGGTTACCAATTCCTTCTGGGGAAGGAGTGGCAGTTCAGATAGCCCTGGGACAGCGTGGCATCCCGTGTTGATGGCCAGATGTAGCTCTCCCTCCCCATCAGTCATTACAAGTTAAGTCCTGATTCAATTTGGGGTGCTAAACATGGAGAAAGGATATTTTTGAGCTCTCCTTGTTGAGAGGGAGGATGGAGGAGTCGTGAGAGAGATGTTGTCAAGGGACCAGAAATCCTTGGCTGTCCAGCCACTGTAGTCTCTCCAGCCCCAGGGGGTGGGCCTTCATCCACAGGCACTGCTGTGCTTCCGCCATTACAATTCCATTATTAATGACTCATGTCGTCGTCATCAGTGCCCTGAAAGGAAATACAAGGGGGAGGCAGGGGAGTGGCCCCTGCCTAGGTTAGGTACAGGGTGACCCAGGTTTTGGGACCTGGTGCCCTCAGCAGTGACACTTTAGTGTGAGGCTGTGCTGACTCATTTTGCTTATCCAGAGATGCTGCTTTCAGGGAGGCCTGACACAGTGCGGATGAGGCTGCTTGATTCACTACATCTTCAGTGGTAATACAGCGCAGGGTACTTACTACAAGTGCAATAAATATCTATTGAAAGAATGAGTGGTTTTATGCATTGCCCCCTCTCCACCCAGCACCTTGCACCAGCCTATCTAGCACATAGTAGGTGCTTTAAATATTTGTCAAATGCCTGATTCTGTATACCCACCACTGCTCTTTCTAGTGCTACTTCTGACACCTGGTAATCACTCAGTAAATGCAAGGCGTTTGTTGAATGAATGTTTCGGATCATGCCTCCATCCTCCCCTGCCCCATTACATCATACTCCATACTTAGTAGGAGCTGGAAAAGGCTGACCTATTTTCTAGGTGCATACTATGTGCCAGGCCGAGCCCGTGCTGAAACACCTCCCTCCCTCTCCTGTCTTCCTTTTGGGATTTGGTTCTCTCCAGAGTCCCATGGGTGGTGGTTGCCATCTCACTCTTGTTTCAGCCAGAGGAGAGGTAGGGTCAGTGAGCTGCCAAGCTGAAGTTGGGTGACAGACAAGGAGGCTGCCTGTCAATCTCTGAGCTGCCCCCAGGCTCCGAGAGAGCACTGCGTTGCACTCCTCGTGCTGGAGAACCGGCTGACTGTTGATAAAAAAAAAAAAAAAAAAATGTCCCTCTGCGCTTTCCAAATTAAGACGACATTTAACTGAGTGCTCGCTGGCTTGCCTGCTCCCTTGATATCCCAGGGGACTGAGCCCATCTTGGTGAAAACTGTTCTGAGCATGTCCGAAGTCTCAGCTTTGACATCTTGGCAGATGCGAAGAAGTTTCTGTGACCTTCCTGCTCAGCACGCTCAGTTCTGTCACCATACACACTGTGTCACTCTCAGCCTGTTACTGGGAAAGTGCTGGGTGTTCCCATGCTAGGAAGCGGCCGCATGGTGCAGACGAGAGCAGTTACATACCTCCCCACTCCAGCCAGAGATCGGTTGCCTCAGAACAGAAACAGCCCTACCCGTGAATTCTTCAGGGTCTGTGGAGAAGGCAGAGCCAAGGACCAACAGAGAGGATCTCAGTGGTCCTTAATCTTATTGAGGCCACGGACCCCTTTGAAAATGTGGCAAGAGCACTGACTTCCTCCCATAGAAAAGTGTGCATCCCCTCAATTTTGCATGCACTTCAGCAGACTCATAGATCTTGAAGCCCAGCCATGGACTCCAGGTTAAGAACCGTTGGTATATTAGAAAGAACATCACACAAATTCCTGATCCGGGTCCCAGCCGCCACAAGGCTGCCGTGTGGCTTTGCACAAATCACAAGTGTCTTGCATTTTTCTTGGCTATGAAATGTTCTGGCTCCTTCTGAGTAAACTTGCCTGTGTTTGTGGAGGTTTAGGGAGTGACTCAGACCAGGTGCAGTGTAACCTTTCATAGGTCACTTGTTTCCTTGAGAATCTGACAAGGACTTTGCATCTTCTGTCTAGAAAATCACCTATACATGAGGCTTTGCCTAGTATTCTCGAGGTCCAAGAACTGCAGACTAGGGATTTCTGAACTCGAATGAAGCAGTGATCAAGGACATCCAGTGAGCCAATGGCCAGCCACCGTTCCAGCTTTCTTTTTAATTAATTAATTTGGCTCCAGGTTTCTTAGGTCGGCATTTCCCCAATCTCTTCTTTTCTCCGCCCTCCCAAGGTCAGCTCTGTATCCAAAATCCACTAGTATGGGTGGGAAATGGCGGTTAGCATTGTTTACTCGAGTTCTGTGGTTTTCAGAGTTTTGATTTCCCATAATGAAAGTCTTTTTCTTTCTTTCTTTCTAATGACGTCTCATCTGGAGCTCCAATCCAGATAAAAGGGAACTCTGAAATTCACTCATTCATTCAACAAGTTAAGTCTGCATCTAGTGTTTGTGCCAGTCACCTGGTGAGCCAGGCTGGAGACCTTGTCTGCTTAGTTTCCCCTGGCCTCTCTCGTTCACTTTGGGAACCCAACGGCTTAAAAATCACAGATCTTGTAAGGAGATCACTTGGGCCTGAAGTGAGGCGACACAGACCCAGAGACCCTGCTCTTCAAGCACTTAACTTTTGGGGGTCTCATTTTCCTTATCTGTAATATGGAATAACTGGATAATGGTGCCACATTGGATTCCGAGTATATATAGCTTTCATTGTCCCTGGTCGGGAGTATGATTGGCCCATTACTGGGGACAATGAACATGAGTACTGGCCTCAAATAGAGAACGAAAGGAGGAGCACAGAAGGGAATTTTTGCCTGCAGTGTCCAGGAGAGCCTCATGCTACTAAGAGCCTGAATGGTTAGCTGAATGACTGCTTGGAAATTTCCAGGAAAATTCTAAGGCTGAGACTTGGAAAAATATTTGCTATTTCTTTGCTCCCTCTGCCCTGGATGTTTTGCTGCTGTCAGTATTGATTTCATAGACCCAGTTCATACGCTGTTCTCTAGGGCCTAAATCACGGCCCCAAACCTGCTGTGACAGAGGAAGATTTACCCATGAACGGTGGGTCTGCAAAGATGACTTCTGTACCTAAAGGGCTAATCGCTGGGAAAAGCCAGGAGCCTGCAGAGGCCCAGGCCCGTGTCAGATTAGATCCAAGTCCCTCTTGTTCCGTGCTCGGAAGTGCAGGGCCGTGGAAGCCTGAGCAGGTTTGGAAATGTTCTTTTCAACAGTGTTTCATGAGAGGAGCTCAGATAAGTCCACGCCTGACAGGAGCTCAGCTGTGGGTCCTTTTCCTTTCCTTTCCGTGGCTGGCAGTGTTGTGTCAAAGTGGAGGGCGTAGGTTTTGGTGTTGGCAAGGCTAGTTCAAACCTTGCTTCTGCCTCTACTCTTGATCTTGGGCAAGACACTCTGCTTCTCCAAGCCTCACATCCTTGTCTGTGAAATGGGGATAATAACACCTCTGTCCCAAGGTTGTTGGGAAATTAAACTAAATCCTCCTGAAAAGCCTGGGGCTTTACTGGCTCACAAAGAGCTCTATAAATAGTCATGCTTTTCTTAGCCCTAATTTTCCAGCTGAGAAGCAGATTATTTGATAATGTAGCAATAGGGAAGTGGGGTCAAGAGTACACGTTCATCATCATGTACCTAACGCTGTGTACCAACGCGCCCTATTCCTGTCCAGGTCCAGCATATCATCTTGCCAGGGAATGGGCGACAAGGACCCCTCATTCTGCTACCCTTCCCTCCCCTCTTGACAGGTGCAAACAGGAGAATGAGCCAGTGCTTTTCCTTTATTAGTAGGTCAGAGAGCTTTGCCTGGCACCCCAGGACCAGCACCCCCCTCCAACTATGCAATGAGGCCATCCTTTCCTGCTTATGACACTCCTTGGCATCCGTTCCGCAGGAGGACTGACCCTCTGTGCTCTACATGTGTTTTGCCAGCAAACACTCATTTCAGCCACAAATGGCTCTGTCCTCCAGAAAATTCACAGGCAGAGCCAGCCCCTCACAAGGGGCTGCTTTGGTCAGCCAGCTATTAGTCGTGGCGCCCCTGCCTCCTCTGTGGGGCAGCATAGGTCACCCGAAAGTTCTCGGGCCTCCTCCCAACAGTGAATTCAAAGATTTTCGAAAGTGGCTCGTGTCCCAGGATCCTTAGCGCCTGGGCTCCCTAGCATGCCCGGTTCCTGGATCCACAGCCCCCTGCTGCTGCTGCTGCTGCTGCTGCTGCTGCCAGTCCTGCCCTCGGCCCCCTTCTTGCCACCTGGGCCCCCCTGGCCTTCCGTGCCCGAGGCCCCGCTGGTGGCCAGGTCCAGACTGAGGGTCCTCCCGCAGACAGAGAGCCTCCGCAGCACCTCGGAGGCGGCCTCCACGGGCACGCTGGAGCGTTGTTCGAGCAGCATTTCCAACAGCGAGCTCATCTCCGAGACGAAGGTGCTGGCCAGCCGCGTGCCTGTCAGGCTCAGCTCAGGCCCCGACGCCTTGCCGAACGTCTGGAAGGTCCGCGGCTCCTCCAAGGCCGGAGTGTCTGGTGAGAACACGTTGTCACGGTAGTTTGTGGTGAGGGGCAAAGAGAGCCTCGCCATCCAGGCCGGATCGGGGACACTCAGCCGGTCCAGGGCCAGGCCTGTACGAGAAGGAGGCGACGCAGTGAGGCCTGGGCCCAGGGAAGCGCCGGGCCCGCCGGGGTGGGGCTGTGGGCGGGGCAAGGGCGACAGACAAAGGAGGGAAGGGAAATGGCAGGGGACAGACAGGGAGGCCAGAGGGGGAGGCCAGAGCGGGACTGGAAGGAAGAGGCCCTGACGGGGAGGCTTGCTGGGCAGGAAGGCTGCCGACTGAAGTACACACACGAGCTGAGTGGGGAGGAGGCAGGAGGAGGAAGAAGACCTTGAATTAGAAATGGGCCCTTTTCTGAAGAACTTCCGGGTCCTGGTGTGTTTCAGGCTAGGTGCCTGCCGTCTATTCTGGTTCAGCCAAGACCCTCACTCCCTCAGGCACTAGTAGGTGAGGAATAGCGTGGGGGGAGGGGGAGCGGCAGGGAAACCTCCCTTTTCTCAGCCAAGGCTGGAGTTCCTGGCTTGGTTCTACCATCTGCCTGTGTTCATAATAATAGTGACCACTTAAGTTCTTTCCTGCCAAGCAATTTATATAGTTCCCTCATTTAACCTCTGCACACACCTTTGAAGTTAAGAGTGCTATCCCATTTTATGGGTGAGGAAACTCACGTTCCAACAAGTTGAATCACACATCTACTAGGCAACCAAACCAAGGTTTGACACCAAAGCTGATGACCTCAAAGCCTCCTATGACCACACCACCCTGCCCACTCTCTGAGGAGCTGGCCCCGCTTCCCCCTGGGTGCTCTGGGTGCCCACCTGAGGCCTCTGGAATCCCCAGGCCTGCTAAGGTCTGTACCGTCACCATGCCCTAAACTCCTCAAACTTTACTTCTCAAGCGGCAGGAAACCCTTGGCCTCGAGGCAGGCTGGGAAAGGGCTGTCTGCCGAACGGCTATGCCAGGAAAGGGACAGGGGCAGTGAAAAACTGTCCCCTAGATCCCTAATGCCACCATCATGCTTTTCCTTTTCCTATGTCTTCAACAAAAATACTATCACAAAAAGCTAACCCTAGGGGCACCTGGGTGGCTCAGCCAGTTAAGTGTCAGATTCTTGGTTTGGGCTCAGGTCATGACCTTGCAGTTTCGTGTGTTCAAGCCCTGCATCGGGCTCTGTGCCGAAGCTTGGGATTCTCTCTCTCTCTGCCCCTCCCCTGCTCACGCTGTCTCTGTCTCTCTTAAAAATAATGAAAACTTAAAAAAAAGAAAGCTAGCCCTGGGCCCGATGGTAGAGGCCAAGCCAAAGGAAAAAAGGTAGAAGTCTTATGGTTAAGTAACTGTGTTTAAAAAAAAAAAAAAAAGTACAACATCCACTTCAGTGTGTATTTAATGTTTGCTTAAGGTGAGCTGCTTTAGGATCTACGCATATAATAAAAGACTGGAAGAAGATATGTCAAAATGTTAACTGGAGTTACCCCTGGGCAGAAGTGATTTATTCTCTTTTTGTTTGCCTACATTTTCCTGCCTTAACCAAATATTACTTTTGTAATTTGGAAAAGTTATTCCAAAATACAGCTAATCACTGTTTGTATTGATAAATGAGTCTCAGTCTTGCCTTGTCAGGGTCAGGCCTCTTCCCCACTGGTCCAGCCCACACCTGGGACTTAGTGAGCATTCCTTGAATGACTCAGTGAACATAAATATTAACCCTGGGCATTTGGGAAATGTAAACCTTAGTTCCCTGAGACTTTGGTAATAAGGTTGAAACTCGTTTGGTGTTACAGAATCAGGTCTTTGTGCAAGGGTCAGAGAGCTTCCGAAGGAATGAGGCTTGGAATGAGAAAATGACTGGAGTGTATGAGAATGGCTGAAAAGCAATGGTGAATCCACCCCAAGGTAGGTGGGCTCTGGGCTGGCCTGGGTTTGATTTCCCACCTCTGCCATTTATGAATAGTGTGACCTTGGGAAAATTGCTTAACCTCTCTGGGCCTCCTTTTTCTCTCATAAAGTGGTAGGACTCATCTCGTCAGGTTGCCGGGAGCATTCAGCGAGCTCACGCAACCAGTAAAATATTGCCCTTATCATATAATCAGACAGATGCACCCAAGACCTCTGGGGTCAGCGAGCTCACCAGTAGCCCCTTCACAGCCCCACCCTGTGAGCAGCACAGGCTATCCTTGCTGCCCTCATCACCCCCTTACTTCTTACAACACCCCTGTGCTCTTTGCCCTCTGGGCTGTGGAGAAGCAGGACCGTGTGGCCACGGAGCCCACAGGTTCCGGCCCAGAGCTGGCCAGTGGAGATTAATGTGATAGAGGTCATTTAACATTTTCCAGGAGCCATGTTAAAAAAGTAGAAAGAAAAGGTGAAATTAATTTGTAAAGCATTTCATAATGAATATCATCATTTTATCATGAAATGAATATTTTTTAAATTAATGAGATACTTTCCATTTTTTTCATGCTAAGTCTTCAAAATCTGAAGTGTGTTTTTTATGTTTATCACATCGTTTTTTAAAATTTTTAAATTAAAAAAATTTTTTTTTAAAAATTTATTTCTGAGAGAGAGAGAGAGAGAGACAATGTAGGCAGGGGAGGGTCAGAGAGAGAGGGAGACACAGAATCTGAAACAGGCTCCAGGCTCTGAGCTGGCTGTCAGCGCAGAGCCCGACGTGGGGCTCCAATGCACAGAATGTGAGATCATGACCTGAGCTGAAGTTGGATGCTTAACTGACTGAGCCACCCAGGTGCCCCTCACATCCTTTTTTAAAAACAATAAGTTACACTTTTAAAATACATTTTATTTATTTATTTATTCATTCACTCATTCATTTATTTATTTTTAAGCAAGCCCTATGCCCAGCATAGGACTAGAAGTTACCACCACCAGATCAAGAGTTAAATGCTCTACTGACTGAGCCAGCTCCGGTGCTCCAGGTTTTTGTTTTGTTTTGTTTTGTTTTTTAAGATGTCTGATTCTTTTTTTTTTTTTTAAGATTCTTTTTTCTTTTTTAAGTAATCTCTGTGCCCAAAATGGGGCTCAAACTCAACCCCAAGATCAAGAGTTGCATGCTCTTCCCACTGAGCTAGGTATGGGCCCTCATATATCCCATCTTGATTCTGACTAGCCTTTTTCAAAAGTGACTGGTGGCTACCATATTGGACCTCACAGTTGTGGATTCTAGACAATGCTGTCCTACAAAACTTTCTATATGTGTGCTGTCCAAAGCAGTGTCCACTGACCACATGTGGCTAGTGAGCGCTTGAAATGTGGCTAGTATGACTGAAGAAGTGAAGTTTTCATTTGACTTAATTTTAATTAGATTTAATTTTCCTTAATTTTAATTTAGAGCCACATTGCCAGTGTTAGTAACCATTTTCTGCACAACCTTGGGAAATTATTAAACACCCTTGCCCCTCAGTTTTTTCCTTTATGAAATGGTGACAATGAAAAGTTCCTATGTTGTAAGATTTTCTCATGAGGAACACAGAACAGGAACCAGTGCACAGAAAGCTCTCCTATGTTTTTTTTTTTTAAATTTGTAAAACTGCTTTTATTTATTTTTGAGAGAGAAACAGAACATGAGCAAGACAGGGACAGATAGAGAAGGAGACACAGAATCCGAAGTGGCTCCAGGCTCTGAGCTGTCAGCACAGAGCCCAACACGGGGCTCGAACCCATGAACCATGAGATCATGACCTGTGCCAAAGTTGGATGCTTAACCTGTTAACTGACTGAGCTACACAGTTGCCTCTCCCCTAAGTTTATTTTGAAAGAGAGAGGGGCGCCTGGGTGGCTTAGTCGGTTAAGCGTCCGACTTTCGCTTAGGTCATGATCTCGCGGTTCGTGGGTTCGAGCCCCGCGTCGGGCTCTGTGCTGACAGCCAGCTCAGAGCCTGGAGCCTGCTTCGGATTCTGTGTCTCCCTCTCTCTCTGGCCCTCCCCTGCTCACGCTGTCTCTCTCTCTCCTAGAAATAAATAAAACATTAAAAAAATTAAAAAAAAAAAAAAAGAAAGAGAGAACACAAGGCAGGGGATGGGCAGAGAGAGAGGGAGACAGAGAATCCGGAGCAGGCCCTGTGCTGTCAGTGCAAGGTGCAACTTGGGGCTGGAAGCCACTAACTGAGAGATGATGAGCTGAGCTGAAGTCCAACACTCAACCGACTGAGCTACCCAGGTGCCCCTGTTAGCTATAGTCCTTGCCAGGCCTTCAGTGTGTTTACAGCCAAATGGAGCACATAGGATATGTCCAGTTGGAAACAAACTATTAACTACAGAAACAGAAAACCATAGCGTAGGGATGGACGGAGGTATGCTATGTTACCTAAAGGAGGCTAACCAATATGCGGCTGGCATCAGATTATGTACTTACTGTCAAAACTGTTTCTTTAGAAAATATGGTTTTTGTTAACATTAGAAATGTTAACACATTAAAGAGTTGTCTCATTTCTCAGGGTCGAAGGATATTTAAACCCACGAAAGAAACATGAATGGGTGGTTTAGGAAGTAAGGGAGGTCTCCTTAATGGCAGGCAGGCCCAGGTTGGCTCCCTTTCAGTCACTGATGAGCTCAGTGACTCTAGGCAGGCTGCGGTGCCTCTCTGGGCCTCAGTTTGCCTATCTCTAAATTGGAGCTCAAAACGTCTGCCTCCAAAGACTGAAAGATTAACTGCGATAATGTGTATGAGACGCTCCCCAGTACCTGGCATACACCAAGAGCTCATTTACTATTATTATGATTTTTAAAATGAATAATCAAAGTAGAATCTGGTCTTTAAACAAATGAGGAATGCCTGAAGCTTTAGGGAAAGTAAAACGTTGCTGATATTCCCGCTCAGCAACAGAATGTCTCTGTTCTCCCGTGGAAGACTTGCTAGGTGACCGTGGAGGCAGAAGCAAGGTCAGAGTGATCCTGGGGAGTTTCATACCTGTGTTGGGGTCCAACAGGTTTGACAGCTCTTCTTCTAGCAGCTGCTTCACAGAGAGGTCCTCTTCAGGACCCAGGTGCCCTTCCTCCTGGTCTGGTTCTGCCTGGCTACCGGCCCTGGCATCTGGGCCATCTGTGTCTGGGACTGTGTTCCTGGAAAGGAAGCACAGTGAGTGAGGAGATTCACACACAGATTCATTCATTCCTGTTCACGAACATTCTTCTATTCATGCCAGCTTTCATTCCTTTTGCGTAAGGAGTGGATACACAGCCCAGCCTTCAGAGTCAGATGAACCTGGGCTACTTGGTCCCAGGCCTCCTGTTACTACTCTGAGTCTGCTGCCTCTTCTGTAAAATGGGGATAATAAATAACCCCCACCTCAAAGGGCATGTGAGGGTAAAATGAGACATTGTATGTAAAGCAACTAGTACAGTGCCTGGCACCTTGTAAGCACTCAGCAAATAGAATTAACAATGAATGCATTGATATCATGCATTCATTGTTAACGATGATAGTAATGATATCATTATTCACCATTGTCTCCCATTCCTTCCCAATGCCTGGCCCAAAGTAGTAGCGGAGTAATTTTGGGTAAGACAGTGCAGTCACCCATCCATCCATCTATCCCTCCACCTCCATCCGAGTATGAGCTCCAGTGAGGGCAGAGATTTTTGCCTGCCTCATTCACTGCTCACCAGTGCTCAAAGCAGGGCTTGGCACATAGTAGGTGCTTAATAAACACTTTGTGGGTAAAGTGACTGAATATTCCATTCCGTATTCTCTATTTGAGGCCATATCCCAGACCAGAAGAGCAGGTCAGCAAAAGACGCAGCTGAGGTGAGAAATCTGAAAGCCACTCAGACTCTACCTTACTTCATCCTCGCCTCTCCCTCCTGCAAACCCTGCCTACCACTAGGGGAGGCTAGTTCCTGGGACTGCCTCAGTATGGGGGTGTAGGGACACGGGACAGAGCTGGTCCCACATTCCAGCAGGTGGGAAGGCTCCCTGAGGAGCTTTAAGGTCTGGGCATCTTTTCTGTTTTTCTTTTCTTTTTTTTTCCTGTGAGCATTCCTGCTGTCTTAAAGCAATCAGCAGGGAGGTGACAAGTTTGCAATAATGATGACAAGCACTAATGTTTATTAAGGAATTACTCTGAGTCAGGCCTAATCTTTTGCAAGGTATGTGCACCTTCTCCTCAGACTTTTCACATGTGTACGGGGTTCTCTTGTTATCATTCCCATTTGGCAAATGAGAAAACCAATACTTGTGAAAATCATGCATTTGCCCAAGGGCCCCACGGATTAAGTGTTAAAGCAAGAATTCAAATCCAGGCTGACATGACTATGGGGGTGTGTGTACTCACTGCTGTTCTACACCACCTCCCACCGTCTTTGCAAAAAAGAAGGTACGAGTTGTCAAGGCAAGAGCACCGAACCTGGAGTCAGGTGCCCTGAAGGGGTCCCAGCTTTGCCACTCACTGGTTACGTGATCTTGAGCAAAGTCACTTTAGGAGGAAAGGACTTAGCATTGCTTATGCACCTAGTATGTGCCAGTCCCTGGGCTATGGGCCTAGAATAAGTCTGATCATTAAATCTTGACCCCATCATTGTAAGGAAGTGTGATGACCTCCATTTTACAGATTAGAAACTGAGGCCCTGAGGATTTATCTGGCTTGCTCACAGTGAGGTTGGATCAAACTACTTAGAGCCCCAGTTTTTACATCTGTAATAAAAAAGAATTATATTAGTTGTCCCCTTGAGGTCTCTTTAATTCTAGGAGTGCCTGAAAGAACATATCCACACACCCATGTCCCTAGCCAGGGAGCCCTCATATTATGTTTAAGGGTCAAGAGAAAGAAAGCCGAAAGTTACACATTTAAAGCCCAGAGCCGAGCACCTCTGCAATCAGGGGATAGATAGTCAGAGCCTCAGGGATGAAGTCATTTCCTTAGAGACTCTGGGTCCTATAAATACTATAAATGCAGTTGCTCCAGGACCATGCTGCCTGGGATGGGGGGATGGTTGCTGCCCGCTGCTCTTCCAGGGGGCCACTGTCTGGGCCGTGCTCACCCTTCCTCAGATCACGGAGGCCGCAGGGGTGCACATGAGCCGGTGGGGGGCTCAAGAAGCCTGTGGACACATGTGCTGCTTACCTGCCGCCGCTGGGCTTGGCCAAGTACTTATTTCCCCGGTGGTTTGGTTTGGGCTGGAATTGGCCCTGATGCAGCAAGGACAGCAGCTGCGAGATTTGCTGCAAGACAGGAAAAATCTGTTGACTCCACACAATTCCGACCCAGCACACTTCCTTGCCGGATGTTTCCCTCAATGCCGGCGCTTTCTTTTTATAGTCTTTCCTCCAGCTTCAGATGTTTGTGTGATCAGAAGGGGGATGGTGACCAGTGACGGAGGCAGGGACCTGTGCAGTCAGGTTCCTTGTTTTGTCCTGTAACCACAGGACCTGGGTGTCTGAGGGAGAGAATGTGGACCCCCTGGGCCCATCCCCTCATTCTCATGCTAAGTAACCTGCTCCCGCTGCAATCTGTGGGATCAGGGTGAAAAAGGCATTTCCTGACCATAAATTCGTTATTACTTTGATGAGGATTATCTGAAGGTGTTATTTCCATGCCTTCAGCAGTATTCGAACCCTCAGCCAATTTGGGTGAGCCTGATGCAAGACTCTGCTGGGGAAAAAGCAAAAGGTATCATTCATTCATTCATTCATTCATTCATTCATTCATTCACTCATTCCTTAAACAAGAGTACGAATGAGAACAGAAGGTACTGTGAGCTACAAGGGGCCAGAGGAGATGGTAGAGGTTCAGAAAGGGTGGACAATGGGGCAGAGGGTGAGGGAGATGTAAGCGCCAGACCCTGCAGGGTCTTGTGAAGGAGAAGGCAACAGACTAAGTCTTGGGAGGCTGAGTTCTAGTTCAAGGTCATTTCTAGTATGTGTAATGTTAGGCAGGTTTATAGACATACTCAGACCTCAGTTTCCTCATTTCTAAGTTGGAGCTGGAAATACCCATCCAGCCTTCTTTGCCAGGTTGTCAGGATTAATCCAGTGGTTTGAAAATTTTAAATGCCCAGAGAATGTGAGGAGTAAGGGTTATTACTCCTAGAAACACTGCCTCTGACTCCTGGGCCTACCCCCACTTTTCCCTGAGAAGGCCCACTCTTTCTCTCTGCGCAGCTCCAGCTAGAAAGTGCCAACCGCAGAGGACAGTTGGAAGAGGGGGTGGTAAGGACTGGGGTCTCACTGTGACTCAGGTGAGTCAGGGTCCAATTGCCTGCCTCAGGGCAGATCCCACCTCCCTGCCAAGGCCCAGAAGCCCTCCTAAGGCACCTGCCACTCTTCTGAGCGTTAGCTGATGTTCCGGGGACGGTCCCTGACTGCTGCAGCCTGAACATAGTGCTGAGATTCAGAGTCACTTCATTGTTAGGGCGCGGACTCTGGAATCAGTCAGACTTGGATTCAAATCCTAAAGCTGCCCCTGCTCCAGTTCCATCTGGATGGCCTTGGGAAATTCAGCATTTTGAGTCTCAGTTTCCTTAACCACCAAAAGGGAATAATAATGAGCTCCAGGTGGTTGCAGTTATAAGAACTAAATGAGTGAAGATATAGAATTCATTAATTTCCTTTTTTTTAAAGTAATCTCTCTATTCAACATGGGGCTCACACCCACGACCCCAAGATCAAGAATCGCATGCTCCACCAATGGAGCCAGCCAGGTACCCCTGTAATTCATTTATTAATAGATCTTATGACAAGCACTTAAAAACTGTAGGGATGGTGTATAATCTCATTTAATTCTTACAATAACCCTAGACATGAGATACCATTACACCCATTTTGCAGATGTGGCACATGAGGTTCACAGGGGTTCCAGAGCAGTTAGGGGACAGGCTACAATTTGACCCCACATCTGACTCTGCTCTGGCACTTTGCTGCTGGAAAGACCTGAGTATGAAGCAAGCTGCCTCTTACCCTCAGGTTGATCCCCGTTGGGCACCCTTCTTTCCATCCCCCAATGGGTTCAATCGCAGTGCTTACTCTCTGCTACCTCTGTTCAACAACTAGCACAGCTCAAAAAGCTCCTTCAGTAAGCATTTGATGAATGAATGAATGGCTCTGGACAACATTTGCGGCTACATAGGTCCCAGGGCAAGACTCCTAAGAGAGCAGCCGGGCTCTCTCCAGGTGGCTTCCTGGGGAGGGTGTAGGGGAAGGAAGCTGTGTCCTTGCTCCGCAGGAAACCTGAGCCAATGGCCTGGCCAAGGCAGAAGTGTGCCTTGAGTGGGCAACCTGGCACAGAGAAAGTTGTCTGAAGTGGAGAGGAACAGATATGGGTGTGAGATAAAGCACAGTCTCTGCAAGAGATTTCCCATTTTTGCCTAGCAAATCCCTGGTCACTAGATACTTTGTCCTTCATTATCCCATTTAATCCTCAACCCCTGGGAGGTAGACACAGGGTAAGTTTGGTGTCATAACTGCCATTTAATAGATGAAGAAAGGGAGGCTCTGATATTGACAGACTTGCCCAAGGTTGCCCAGCTACTAAGTGGCGATGCTGAAATTAAAACCCAGATCTGCCAGACTCCCAAGTCCTGAGATTGTTTCTACTGCCACATTCTGTAGGCCTAGACAGCAAAGTCTAGTCTTAGGCCAGTTAAATGCAGCCTCTGAGCCCAGGGGCAATGATGCCCACGCTGGCCTGCTTCATGGGGAGGCTGCCCAGATAAGAAGAGATGAAGAACTTTTGCAGAAGTAATTGTAGCCATTTACTGAGGGCTGACTATGTGCTGGACATTATTCTAGGCTTTAAGTGCACTAATTTCATCTTCAAGCAAATTTAGGAGATGGGTACAATTAACATAGACATCTTCAACAGAGAAGCTGAGTAATGTTCCTTTGGTTCTCAGCTCAGAAGAGGTGGAGCCAGGATTTGAACCTAGGCAGGGTTAACCCAAAGCATGTATTCTCAAGCGTGCCTTTTGCTGTGTGTCTACTTGACAGACCCCAAGTAAGTGCTTTTATAAGAACTGATTAAGTCCCCAGGACAACTCTTCAGGGCACATGCTCTTACCATCATCTGTGCTCTACAGATAGGGAGACAAAGGCTCAGAGATAGAAAGTAAGTTACCCAGGATCACACAGCTAAATTCTGTTGACCTCAGAGCTATGCCCTGACCCACTGCATCCAATGTACCGTAAAGTCCGTAGTGAGCCCAAGGAGTGAATGTGATGAATGTCAGGTAGTCCAGGGGTGACCACAGAAAGAGCTGCCCACACCCAAGATACCTGAACAGGAGGAGAATCCATTGTGAGTTCCTCTACAGGGTTCCGCTCTGCAAAGGCAGCCACAGATAGCCGGACCAGGCTCCGCAGGATCTGACGGGGACTCGACTCTTTCTCAGGGGTCACTTTGCCATTGAGATTCCGCTGCCGCCTCAAGGTTGCAGAGGAGGCCGGTGGACTCAATGAAGCCTCCTCACTGCCTGCATCTCCTGGCAGCCTCCCTGCGGGGCTGCCCATAGCCTTCATGGGCCTTGAGCGTGGCTGGCCCATCACAGGCTGGGATTCAGGAAGGTTCAGGTTCTCCCTGGAGGCATTCCTCTGCCTGGGATGGTTGAAAAGGAGGTTGACAGTGTCCTGCAGGACCTCTCGGCTCTCAGCCAGTGCTCCCTGGTTGCCTTGGTTACGTAGGGTCCTGTACAAGGTTGGAGTGAGGTGAAAGGGGGCCTGCAAGCAGGGGTCCCAGCCTGCCTCCATCATCCCCTCCTTGCCTGTGTCCTTGTGGGGCTGCCCAACTTCGCCGGGCTCATCCACCTGACCCCTGAGCACAGGCACAAGGTGGATGTCTGCCTTCTGAATGTGTTTCTGCGGCCTCTTGGGCTGGTGGCGATAGGTAGACTCAGCCTCCCGACAATTGTACGCCCCATTGTCCTTCTTCTCCGTCCGGCAGATGGACATGATCAGAGCCAAGATCAACCCAAAGATGGCCAGCAGTACAACCAGGCAAATCACTGTCAGCACTGATGTGCTCAGGGTCCCAGGCTCACGGGCCTTGTCCCTCAAGTGGTCCACACTGGTGACAAACAAGACCCTCAAGAGGGCTCGGGTCTGCAAGGAGGGGCTGCCACGGTCTTCTACTACTATCTCCAGCTCCCACTCACTCCCAATGAGATTACTGGCATTGGTGACGTTGATGAACAACTGGCCCAGGTGGTGGTTGAGGACAAAGAGATGGGCTTCATTCCCACTCCTAATACTGTAGAGGAGCTCTCCATTTGCGCCTGAGTCTGCATCTCTTGCTACAATGGTTGTCAGAAGGAACGGCCGGGAACTGTGGGTTGTCAGTGGTGTTGGATCAGTACCCACTGGACCTAAGCCGTTAGGAGTTTCAATGGGTACCAGAAGGTGGCCTGTGGAGGCATTTACGAGCACTGAGAGGCTGGCTTTTCCATCAATGAGGACAGGATGAATCACTTCTGGGGCATTATCATTGACATCCAAGAGACTGACCCACACAGAGACGCTGGATGCAAGTTGAGGCTGCCCCCTGTCCTCTGCGATCACACGGAACTCAAAACTAGCCATCTGTTCATAGTCCAGTGACCTCTTCGCGGTGACCTCTCCTGTGTCTGAGTCAATAGCTACCAAGTGAGAAACTGGGGATTCCTGGATACGGTATGAGATTTTTCCATTAATGCCCAAGTCTGCGTCATGAGCCTTGATGGTAATGAGGTGAAGAGAAGGTAGGTTGTTCTCCCGAGTGGAGACCTCATACCTGCTCTTCTCAAACACAGGTGCATTGTCATTGGCATCACTGATGTGAATGCTGAGCTGTTTCCTGGCCGATAAGGGCTGGGGTCCTTGGTCTTGAGCCAACAGAGTGAGGGTATATTTAGGCCACTGCTCTCTGTCCAGTGTGGTGTTGGTTAGTAGCATGTATGTGTTGCCATTGGTCCTTTTTAGTCTGAAGTGGCCCAGTTCTTGGCTCAGCCAACAGTGGACCAGACCATTATTTCCTGAGTCCAAGTCATTTGCCATGATGAGAGCAATGAAACTGTCCTTTGGAAGAGCTTCTGACACCAGTGATGGCTGGGAGGCCCATGTAATGTGGATGCTTGGGGCATTGTCATTGACATCCAGAACCTTGATGAGTACTTTGCAATGGGCTGGTATGGGATTTGGACCCAAGTCCCTTGCCTGGACATCCACCTCATAGGCAGGATTCTTCTCGTAGTCTAGGTGTTGACGCAGAATCACCTGGCCCGTCTTTGCATCAATACTGAAGGTATCTAGCACCTCTGGAGGTACATGCCTGCTGAGAAAGAACTCCACCTCTCCATTGGGGCCTTGATCAGGATCCGTGGCAGTCAAGTTTATGAGGAGAGTACCAGGGGCAGCATCTTCCTGGATTTCTAGTGCCAGTGAGCTCTCAGCAAACACAGGGCTGTTATCATTGGAGTCCAGGACATTGACCTTGACCAAGCTGGTGCCTGACTTTGGGGGGTTCCCACTGTCATAGGCAGTTAGCACCAGATCAAAAAATGAGTGGATTTCCCGGTCTAGCTCCTTCACCACCACAAGTTCTGCATGTTTAGTCTCATCAGGCCCCACAATGACATCCAAGGCAAAGTGCTCGCTGGGAGACAGCGTGTAGGAGTGCAGGGTGTTGGGGCCAGTGTCTGGGTCGAGAGCTCTGTCCAAGGGGATCCGGGTGCGCAGAGAGGCACTCTCAGAGATTTCCAGCTCCTGCTCACCTTTGGGAAACTGTGGCTCATGGTCATTGATGTCCAGCACCTGGATCTCCACGTGGATCAGAGCCAAATCCCCTGTGGCAAGCACATCAAAGGAAACCAAGCAGGGATCCTGCTGCCGGCAAAGCTGCTCTCGGTCTAGCCGCCTCCCTGTGCTAAGCAGGCCGTCCTCAGGATCCACCCGGATGGGGAGCGCCTGAGGCAGCTGCAAGACCTGGAAGGCAGCTGTCGTTTGCCCATGCCTCTCCTCCCAACCCAGTTCCCGCGACAGCTTGCCTATCACTGTGCCAGACGGCACTTCTTCTGACACTTGGTATCTCACAGTGAGAGTGGCCACCTCCTGACAATCCCCTGGAAGGAACAAGAAGCCACCTGGCCCCAAAAGCCCCAGCAGAAGTGGCAGAAGTCGTATCATGCTTACCGCCAGAGTGGGCTAGACTCAGAAACCACTAGAGTTCTTCAAAAGGTAGGCAAGTCCTCCAGTGTTTCCTGGGGGGCTTGATTGGCCCCTTTCTCCTGCTCCCAGATCTGCTGTCACAGCCTCGTCCCATTATTAGATGATGATGGAAGTAGCAGGATTCCCAGGCAAGGCCATCTTCATCTGAAGAGATCTGAGGTCGAGGCACCGATGAAGTGAAGTTGCTAAGGGAGACCCCGCACAGAGGCACCCGTTGGTCCCCTTCAGTAAATGATAGAAAGAGCCGGTCCAAGAGGGACTTGACCCAGTAAAGCAGGATGTGGGGATCTGACTTCCAAACAGTTGCTGGGCTGGGGAAACGGAGAAGCAGCTTTTTCCTATGGAAACCCCACCTACAGGAAAAGGGAGGGCTGTGTTTCAATGCCAATTAGAGAAAGAGTGTTTCCCCACCATCGAGTGGCCTGTGGCTGAGGAGGATGGGAGTCCCAGGACAGGCCGATGGAAAGGTGCTATCCACACAAGGCAGCCACCGAGGGAAAGGCTACTGTGCAAGCAAGTGGGCAGAAAGGCCAAGCCCCCGCCTGCCCCAGACACCCCTCTTGGCCATGTCATGCGGCCCTGTGTCTCTCCTTTCCTCGGCTCTCTCTTTGTTTCCTTTATATCCCCATTGTTCCTCTCCCATTTGGTCTTTTCCTTACACTCATCTACCTTGAAGTCTTGGTTCTGCCCAGATCAGCCATTTTTGTCTTGTGGGAAGCAACTGTGATTAAGAGAGTCACAGAGCCAAACTGCCTGGGTTCAAATCCTGACTCTTCAATTTACCAGCTGGGCCATGTGGGACAAGTCACTTAACCTCTCTGGGCCTCCTCCACTTCATCTTTAAAGTGTGTATGAGAATAAGAACAGTATCGCTCACAGCAGGAAACTGTGAAGACGAAATGAAATGATGCATGAAGGGCCGAGCCCTGGTTCAGAGTCACAAGCAATGAAGTTTTGGGAGCAGTGGGTGTTGAGAACTGAGTCACTGGCCCCACCTTTTAGCTCTGGCTCTCTCACTGGCCCTGGGGCAGTCCCTGCCCACACAAACCCAGGAGGGTGCCCATGGCCTTGGCTCCTGAAGGCGAGAATCTCTCTGACCTGACCACGTGGCTTCCTCCCCCTTCCCTTCCTGCTCCCCAGCCTGGCGGCCCATTGTTTTCTGCATCTGGTCTGCCCGAGTCCCTGTCTGGGGGAATCCCCAGCCTCCTGCTCCCCTGCCTCGGAGATTTTTATACTTTACTCTCTCCCACGCCTTCCTCTCCTTATCCTTCCCTTCCCCTGATTCTTCTCTCGGCACTCCTGTTTGTGACAGAGTCCCATGAACAGTACTCTTCCCCACCCCCAAATCGCACAAGGATGTGGATGTGTTCAGGTGTGCCCTCCCCCATTCACCTCCTCGCAGTGGTGAGGCCCAGGGTCACTTGCTGCCCCCAGCACCCTCCTGGTCTTATACTTTGCCTCGGGCTGAGTCTAGAGGTTTGAAAAGCATTTGAAGAGATGGGAATTTAAGGCCAGCTTCCTTTAGGTGGGTGTTTGCAGCTGAGTCCTTGAAGCTGGAAGGGCCCATTGGGACACAGGGGACCTTCATCAGGTCCTGTTGGCCTGTAGGACAGGGACAGCTGAGGGAGCTCCGTGGCCTTAGAGCCATCTGTGCTTCTCCCTTCTCTTCGTCTTTTCTTTCCCAAACCCTGTCCGTGTTCCACTCTTGGAGGTTTCCTGTACATGTCACTTGTTAAACCACACACAGCAAGGGCCTGAATGCATGGGGCCATCGCCTACAGTGTGTCCCTAGAGATAGACCACTCACAAGCTTGGTGACATTGTAAAAGTCACTTAACCTCTCTGGGCCTCAGTTTCCTTCTCTATAGAATGTAGCTGTCACCCACCTAATGAGGTTTTGATAGGATCCAACGAGATGATAGCTATAAGGACACAGGGAGGGCACTCATTGGGACTGTTATTGTAGCTTGTATTATTTTCCAGGTTTTATGCCTCCAATGTAAATGGTGAAGATGGCCTCGCATCTGTCCTTTTACTGTCTTCTCTGCCTCCTTGGCCAGGAAAGTTCACTTTCCAGGGCTTCCTCAGCTCAGGCGTGGGCCATGCCGCCTGTGCATTAGCGGGAGCCAGACAGGCCCCGTGTTCACAGATGTGTCCTGTGCTCCCTGCCCCTGGGTGACAGCCTGTGTGGCGACCTTCACTTCTTGGCCCTCATTTGTCCTATCATGTGCAAGGCAGCTAGCAAGACAGAGTGACCCACAAGGAGCTTGCAGTCTAAGGAGAGTGTGGGGAAAAGGGAAGAAGTGGGTCCGGTGGCTCTGCATTTGGGCCTGGGGAGCAGGGGAGGCTCCCTCATGGAGGGCACTGGGCCGAATCCTGAAAACATAGAGGAGTTAGCCAGAGGAGGGTGAGTGAGGAAGGGAAAGACAAAACATGCAGGGGGAGCTGAGTGAACAAAGGCTAGAGGTGAGTGAGCTGGCTCCTTATAGAAAGGGGAGGAAGAAGGTGGTCCAGGGACATTAGAGGGGCTGCCACATCCTGGAGGGCCTGGGGTCCCATGCTAAGAATTTGGACCTTATCCTGAAGGTCGCAAGGGAGATTGTGAATGGCTCTGAGAAGGATGATGAGGACAGTAGCTATAGGCCAGGCCTTGTCCTGAGGGCTTTACCTACATCCTTCTGTGCCACCCTCATACCAGGGTCATCAGGGTAAAGAAGCTGAGCACCGAGGGTCACCTAACTTGCCCAAGATCACGCAGCCTGGACCTCTAGAAAGCCCCTTGGGCTGCACTCTGGAAGATGGACTGGAAGACAACAGAAGAGGGAGAGGGGGAAGGCAGTTGGAAGTGATGCAGGGAGCTTTGATGCAGAAAACTCGTGCTGAGAATGTTTCCAGAATGCCATCTGGTGGTCAAAGGCAAGAGAAGAAGGTACAGAGGCAGAGAGGTGGGTGGCTAGAGTTCATGAACATCCACAGCTCTAGACCCGTGCTGCATGAGACACAATGTAAGGAGCTTCCACACGCAGATAATCGCTTCCTTTCAGGAGAAACCTAATGTCACCCAGGGCCCACCGGAGGAATCATGGAATTCACTATTTTTCCTGTGTTAACATTTACATTCTTGGACGGACATTGTTGTATCTATGCTCTGCATGCGTGTGTTGCTTTGGCTCTACCACGGATGCAGAAGGTGGTCTCACAGGTCACAAGAGAGCTTGGATTGAGACCTCACAGATGGTTTTTCTGGTGGTTGTTTGTTTTATTCACACTGGAGGCACAAAGCTGAGACAACCCTGTAAGAATCCAAAGCCAGCAAACAAGGTATCAGGCTTTTTGAAGGTGATTATCTCCGGGAATGAGATCCCCACTTAGTGATTTTCTCTCCTCCTTTCTGGCTGTGGGGATCAGTTGTTCTTCAGTATCCACATGTCAAGAGGTGGATGCACTTTTTCTGGAGAGCCCGCATCGCTCTGTGTTTTGAAAACTGGTTTGAAGTCATACAAGAACTCTGAAATAGGATTGCGAAAGCTAAAGATGTCCTCCCTCAAGTCTGAAATACTTTTTTAAACAGGGCAGCATTGGGGCTGGTGTTTGAAAGTCTTGCTCACCACCAGCGTTGAGGTCATTCACACCTGGGCCCTTGGCCATGGGGAGGGGCTGGGGGACAAAGTGGGAGGGGTGGGGTCAGGATGTTTTCAAAACACCTGGTGTCCTGAGGAAAGTTGAGGAGTCAGATCAGCAAGGTGGGACTCTGACGCTTGGGGGACCCCCAGCTCAGCTGGATGAAGGCTTGGATCCTGCTCCATGCTATGAAGGTGCTGTTTGTCTGACTTCTCATGCTCAGGGCTCCTTAAGAATCTGCCTAGCAGCTGCCATAGTCACCATCACAAGGCCACTTGGTGAAGCTCAGAAGCTTCGTCCTCCTCGGATCATTCCCGTTGGGAGGTGACAGCACCACCCAAGGTCAGCCTCTTTTTTTCAGCAAGACCTTGTTGAAATTAGAGCCAGTCTGGCCAGGCATCTGGATGGGAAGACTCAGGTAGATGTTCTGAGTCTCTGGCTCCTGACATGGCATTTTGTGGTCTTTGTTGGGACAGATGACAGATGTCCACTCCCACACAATGGCACCTCTTTCTGGGCCCAGTGTAGAAAGAAAGATATACTTTGTAGGGGGAAATTTGCCAAGAAATAGAACATTGCAAGGAATGAAAAAGCTTTGTGTCTTGATTGTCTTGGTTAAGAGAGGTAGCTCTCAAAAGGGGCCAGATGTCAGAATCACTTTTCTGAATTCCAGAGACAGGGCAAGAACAGTCATACGTTTCCCTGTCCCACCCTGCCACAGAGAATTTTATAACTGCCAACTCCATTCCCTCTACCCTCCCTTCAAAAAGTCTTCAACTTTCATTTGGGACAGAGTTGGGGAAATTGATTGGAGCTTTTTTTCTGGAAAGAGAGGCTTAATTGATCTACATAATAAAAGGAAAATAGGAGAGGGGGGTTAGTGCAGGCTGAGGAAATGATGGAGGGGGTGCTGTGAAGGAAGGTAGTAACTTGAACATGAGGACTTGTGAATGAGTTGTTGTGAGCCGTGGGTCTCCTTCAGGATTTTCAAGCAAAAGGCAAGAAAAGACTTAAATTGATTACAGTTTATTAGCTTTAGTAACCACAACTGGAGCACATAAATTCTGAGTTGATAAGGGTTACACATATGTTTTGTCTCTCTCCCCCAACCTCAAAGGGAAAGTGGGCTACTTCTAGCCTGTAGATTTTAATTCTGATATACAAGACACTCTGACATGTACCCCACCTCCACCCCAATCTCATTGAGAACCACTGATTTAGAACTCCTTAGAAGCACTCGCGACTTTGTAAGAGCCAAATCCTAGAGCCTTCAGGCCTTTCTTACTAAGCAGTCCTCCTGGTCCACAGCTCTCCCCCAGGCCTGTGTCACTACTCGGCAGAAGCTGTGTGCATGGCTGGCTGTCTCCGTGTCTTTCCACAGACTCTTCTGTCTGTTTCTTTGATTCTGTCCTTGGTTTTCCCTCCTTCTGCCTCCCAGGTGTGGACATGTCCCTAGATACCGTTCTCAACCTTCTCTTCTCCATAGGGTTCTTAGCCCAGAAACAGGATGTCAGCTTAAAAAAACCCAAGGTGCCCAGATACATTTGAATTTTAGATAAATGATGACAATATTTTTAGTGTATTTTTACCTGGCAATCCTACTCAGAAGTAATATACAGTCTCAACGCAAGTTTCTCTTCTATTTTTCTGTTTTCTCTCCTCGCCCTTCTCTTCCTCTTCCTTCTTCTTCATCCTCTTCTTCATTCTCTTCTTCTTCCTCTTCCCCATCTTCTTCCCCTGCCCCTTACTCTTCGCCTTCTCCTCCTTCTTTAGAATTGTGATTTACATGGTGAATTTTAAAATCTATCAATGCACACAAAAATCAAACCTATTGACTAGAAGCATCGTCTGTGCATGAATATTCAGAAGCTGACTGTGTTGATTGGCCTTGTTATGTATTCAGCATTTCTGGGTGACTCCAGTATCGAACTGTTTTCACACTGACAGAACCACCCTGGGGGAAGCCTGGATCACACTCATTCATTAGCTTATTTGGTCATCCAGTTACTCATTTATTCGGTGGAATTCAGCATGTTCTTCTCTATTTACAAGGTCAATTTTTTTTGGCAAGGGAAGTAGCTGAAGTTGACCCACATTTTCCCTTCCTCTAAACCATTGGTTTGGTTTTCTTTCTTCACACAGAATCTAATCAACCTAATTCTTGCCTTGCTTCAGAAAGGTTCTTGCAGGAAGGAAAACGAGTCTTCCCCTCGTTACATAAATTCTCATGGGGCTTCCCGTTATAAGTTTACGACAGCCAGGAGTTGAGCCTGGAGCTCTGAGAGAAACAGCCACACACTGATTTATGATGGCAGCTGCTGCTAAATCTCACCCCCTTTCCTTCTTACGGAGCCTGTTACCTTGGGGTTACAAAACCCTTTTCACTGTTATTCAGGGGAATAATAATAAAATGCCAGGTGGCAAGTATAAACATGATCATTCTGTGCCTATTATTGTAAATCAAATTTTACCTTGCATCAGAAGCACAGAAAACATTTTATACTGTCAGCCAACTCAAGCCTTTTTAGGAGTCGATTTTTATATAACCCTGGGATGACCTGAGGTATTGTATGAGCTGCTCCAACCTAAGAAGCTGGTCACACAGGTGATCCGGCTGTTTCTCCTTACACACCCAACTCACCATTTCCCTTGAGTGAAGTGTTAACTTGATCTAAGTGTAGCATTGGGGTTAGGGCTCCAGTTGCCTGGGTTCAAGGCTCCATTCCACAATATACCATGTGTGTGACAGTGAAAAATCACTTAACTTCTCTGTAATCAGTTTCTTTAACTTTAAAATAGAGATGATAATTGATGATGGCCCCATCATCTACTAGGCTTGGGGACAGGTGATGAAGGGGAGTCTCTTTCTTTCCCTCTGTATTCTCATTCTCACCTATCATTATGTCATAAAACCTAATCCTAATTTCCTTAGGGTGTTCCCTTTTAATTCTTATGGCAAGAACTATTTTGTTCCCTTTATATTTCTGCTAAAACAAACCTAATTCTCTTACAGGCTACAGGAGAGTGTGAGACTGGTGAGGAACCAGCCCTAATCTTATATGTCACCACGGTTTGACATTGGTCAAATCGTTTCACCCATTAGTGCTCCAATTTCCTCATCTGTAAAACGGAGAGACAAGATTGCCTCAGTTATGAAATCCTGGGTATTTAAATGAGATAATGCGTGTAAAGTGCTTAGCACAGTAGAGGACTGGGCACCTGCAGAAAGTTTATTTATTTATTTATTTATTTATTTATTTATTTATTTATATTTTAGAGAGAGAGTACGCAAGTGGGGGAGAGAGGCAGAGGGAGAGAGAGAGAATCTTAAGCAGGTTCTATACTTAGTGTGGAGCCCAATGTGGGGCTCAATCCCACAACCCTAGAATCATGAATTGAGCCAAAATCAAGACTCAGATACTGAAACAACTGAGACACCTAGGCACCCCTGGGGAAAGCTCAATTTGAAAACGATAAAGGACATGAAACCAAAGATACAAAAGTCTATTATTTTTAGGGAGTCTAAAAGCAAATTTTATTACAATACTCTCTTTATCCAATCCTGACCTCAAAACTGGACTCTAAACATTTAGTCCAAATTATTAACACTGCTTTATAGTTCTCTCTTCTATTTCCTCCATCCTGTGACTTCTGACATGTCATAATTCACTTCCTGCTCAGATTTGTGAGAATTCCTGAACTGGTTCTTAGGCTCCCTTACTTTTTGCATCTGGTAGGTCTCTGACAGGATCCATGATCTCACCTGTGAGCACAGTGAGGTAGGGTTGTCATATGCTTTCCTTTTGGTTTTATTTCCTTTGGCTAAACATGAGTAATGATATTAGTGAATGGCTTTGGAGACTCTTCTGCCTTTGCATCTTTAAGGAGTATGTTTCTGGTCTGGGAGTCTATCACAAGGGTTGGTTAGGTTTCTGGTCTGTGACACTGTAGAAAATTAGGAGTGATTATTTGTATCTCAAGAGTTTCACTTTTGTGGCAGTCAGGGAACCCCCTCCAAAGCCTCGATTTACTCACTCGGTTTTTCTTCTCTCCTGTGTGCAGGACTGCCTGCATAATTTGTGGAGCCCAGTGCAAAATGAAAATGGAGAGCTTCTTGTTAAAAAATTAAGAATTTCAAGATGGCCGTAGGAGAGCATTAGACCAAGAGCAGGGCGCTTGTAAGCCTGAGGCCTTCCCGAGAAAAAGGTCTTGTGGGACCGACACAGGTGACTGGCCCCTGAAGCCAATCCTGCCTGGAAGACAGTGGTGGTAAAGACTTTTAGAATCCTGTAGGCTTGCATTAGAGGACTACCCTTACAAGCTGCTTTTCTTGGGGGAGAAGTATATGATAAAGAGGAAACAGGAGCTTATTAGATCATTAAGGCACATTAGTTTGATGGTTTCCAAGAACCAGAGCCAACATTTCAGCATCCCACTTAAGCGCTGAGAACAGTGTTTTGTACCTAAAACTTTCTTATTGAGATATAATTCACATGTCATAAAATTCACCCTTTAAAAGTATACAGTCCAGTAGTTTTAGTATATTCACAAGATTGTGCAATCTTCACCACTAATTCCACAGTATTTGCATTCCCCAAAAGTAACCCCATATCCATTAACAATCACTTCCCATGCACTCCTGCCTCAGCCCCCAACAGCCACAAATCTGCTTTCTGTCCCTGTGGATTTGCCATCTCTGGACATTTCATATAACTGGAATTATGCAATTTCTGGGCTTTTAGGTCTGACTTCTTACACTCAGCATAATAGTTTTAAAGTTCATCCAGGTTGTAGCATTTATCGGTACTTCATTCCTTTTTATGGCAGAATAGTATTTCATTGTATGGATATACCACATTTTATCGGTTTATCCAAGGATGGACATTTGACTTGTTTCTACCTTTTGGCTTTTGTGAATAGTGTTGCTATAGTAAACATTTATGGATGCTAAACACAAAGAATGGGTACAAATGTAGTTATATGTTTGTGCAAGTTTTTGTGTGAACATATGTTTTCAATTCTCTTGGGTATATACCTAGGAATAGAAATGCTGGGTCTTATTGTAACTCTATGTTCAACTTTTTGAGGAAGTGTCAAACTGGTTTCTGGAGCAGCTACACCATTTTGCATTCCAGCAGGGTATGAGGGTTCCAATCTCTCCACAGCCTCATGATACTTGTTATTATCTGCCTTTTTCTTATAGCCATCCTAGTGTGAAGTAGTTTTTCAGTGTGGTTTTGGTTTGCATTTCCTTGATGACTAATGAGGTTGAGCATCTTTTCATGTACTTCCTGACCATTTGTATATCTTCTTTGGAGAGATGTCTATTCAGATCCTTTGCCCATGCTATAACATGGGCAAACCTTAAAAACATTTAAAATTGGGGCATTTTCCTTTTGTATTGTGGAGTTACAGAAGTTCTTTATACAGTCTGAATATTAGATCAATGGTTTGCAAATATTTACTCCTGTTCTGTAGATCGTCTTTTCACTTTGTTGATAGTGTACTTGAAGCACAAAAGGTTTTGATCGTATTTAGTCCAGTTTTAGCCGTTACATTTAGGTCTTTGATCCATTTTGAGTTACTTATGCATTATGGTATGAGGTAGAGGGCATGTGATTTTAATTCCCGGTCAGTTTCTCAATAACCATGGGTCCTTTGGTAAGTTCCTGAACCTCCTCTCTATGTTTCGATTTCCTCATTAATACAGTAGAAATAACAAAAACTATCTAAAATCAGAAGGTATGGTGAAGATAGAGAAAACGTACACACACTTAGTAAAGTGCTTGAAGTATCCTGACTGCTCAATAAGCGTGGTAGTTATTACTGTTACAGTATGAAAGGTGAGTGAACGCTTTCGTAGAGGAGGTGCCCCAAAGATGGGCAGCATTTTTGAGAAAGAAGTTTGAATGGGGGAACCTTGCTTAGTCTACCTGGACGAGCTCGTCTGAGATTGTTACAGGAGTGTGTGTCTTGGAAACAGCACTGTCTCCCTTTCACCTGTAGGGATTGGAAAAATTTAGAATTCCAGACCCATCCCAGAACTACGCCCAGGAGCCGCCTGGTCACAGAATCTACGTTTGTATCCACTTCTCCAGAGGCAAACTTAAAGTTGCCAGGGGAGACACGGATGGCGGTGACGGCGGTCGCCCACGCACGACCGCCTTTGGCCTTCAGGGGGCGGCCGAGGGACCCGGGCGCTCACGGCGGCTGCGCAAAGCCCTCCCCTCGCCGGGCCGCGCCAGCCGGATCCGCCCGACTCAGCTGACAGCTACAAACACGGAAGAGGCGGTGCCGAGCGCAGGTTGAGCCGGGCGTCTCCAGGCCGCGGCGTCGGTGGCGGTGAGGGGACTAGGGCTAGGGCAGAGGGCGGAACTTTGGGGCCCGGCGCGACAGGGTGGCCGGAAGGTACGGTGTGGACCGCGCTGCGAGCGCGCGAGGCGGAGAAAAGCGGCCGGGACTCCTCAGTGGGCCCGAGACCCCAAATCCGGGACAGGACGTCCCCAGCCTGGCCCGGCTAAGCGCCCAACCCCCCTACCACGCGGGGCGCTCAAAGGAGGAAGGGGGAAGGTCCAGGCCCTGTTGGTTCGGGACATCTGGGGCCGCCTCACACCTCACGCTTTCTTACAGCGTCCTCTCTGTCGGAGCGCCGGGGCAGGTAGCGAGGCCGGGGCCTGCCCCCGGGTTGTAGGTGAGTCGTACCAACAGCGACTCAGCACCCCGGGTGGGGAGCGGTGGGGATACCCTCGGCGGCGTGCTGCTTCCAGGGCCAGCGCTGACCCCAGCTCTACAGTTGCACGGTGTGGCCTGGAAGAATGAGTAGGATTTTCCCAGGCCGAGGGAAACCCGGCGGAGGAGGGCTTCCCTCGCTGGGGTAGCGGTTTCCCGTTTGCTGAGACTAACATAAAACTTAACATCTATCTGATGGCACGGGGTTTAGTCTCGTTCCTGGGTTACGGATGAAGAAACGGAGTGGTCTGAACCCAGATTTAGTTACATATTAGCTCTGTGACCTTGGGCCGGAACAGGACTGAAACTGTCATTTCTCTCATCTGTGTAATGCAAATAGAGGACTTGCTTCCTGGGCCTGTGGGATTATGACAGGAGTGAATGCATTTAAAGTGCTTAGTACACCGCCCCACACACGGTAAGAGCTCAGTGTTACTTTTCTTGGTGGTGCTGTGACTCCTGCTTCTAGTGGACTGTAGCAAAGCAGTCACCAAACCCTGGCATTCTGGTCCCCCTTTTCAGCACACTGCATCTCACACCAGTTCGGTTACATATTTTTCTCCGTTGTCAAACCCAAGGCACTGCTAGATGCAGAGAGCAACCCCAACACAGATGCAAAAGACTTGATCCTTGCCCTTAAGGAACTAATGCAGTCTGGAAGTGTAAGTTCATAAACTACTGTAATGCAGAGTGGGATGTGATCATGTCATAGGAAAGTTACAGTAAAAAAAAAAGTTTGCTGGATTTTTAAAGAAAGGACATCGAATTGAAATTTTCTACCTAGAATAGGGGCTTTGGACATGAGTCTTGAAGTCCCAGTGGGTAGAATGAAAATGAAATGTAGGTCTGCCATGTGAATTAAGGGACTGGGATCTGGTGGCAGCTTCAGAAGCTGGGGTCTGGTGCCATAGGGTATGAGGAGCTGTTGATGGGAAACACTGCTTGGAGTAGAGCTGCTTAATCCTAGCTGCACATTAGAATCACCTGGAGGGCTTGGGTAACTAACTACTGAGGCTTGATTTAATTGCAGAATTAAATTGTAGAGTACAGCCTGGGTATTGAGAATTTAAAAAGCAGCTCCCCAGCTGATTCCAATATCCAGACAAACTAGAGAAGAATAACCTAAAACCTGAATATAAAATCATTTCTCACCCCATTTACACATGTTTAGACAGGAAGAAACAGAAAATTGTTTAGGATTAAGTAACAATGTGAAAGGAGCTAAGGTAGTAGGTGCTCAATAAATGTAAATTGATTCTCACTTTCATTCTTAGTTTATTTGGGAGTCACACATCTGAAAATCTAGTTTCAAAATTACCATTTCATGTAAGATTTCTGAATATAACTTCACAGTGTTCTTAGGCTTCTCCATAACCTGTCTGTGGACCACCTTCCACTTCCCTTTACTCCCCATTGAGAAGTCTGGCTCTGAAGTTTTGAAAATTGAACTTGAAAGTGGGTGCATGTGTGCATATGTGCACGCTTTTGTTGTTTTGTTTTTAAATATCTTGCTGTCAATGCTTACATTGACCTAATGTTGGGTGTCCCTAGCAGGATTAATTCATAGGTGAGAGGAAAAACTGAAGGGGGATAGGAAATGAAGGAATAGAAGAAGCTGAAGAGGAAGGGAGAAGCAAAAACAAATCCAGAAAGATGTTTAGATGTTTATTATGAGACAGTTTTCTCACCTCTCTTAACGAGGTTGGTATTCCACCTCGGCTCCTCCCAGGGCTGAAGACAGTCAGATAAGGCTTCTCACATTGCTGGGGCCTGGCAAACACTCCTTTCACCCCATGGCCCTGTCAGGCTGTCCTAAACGTAATAGACAACTGTAGATTAGGATTGACTGTATGTTAGGATGTGTTTGACCTAACTGGTAATAATGGAAATTTGGAATTAAAATTTGGAGACGGTCTTAACACCATCTTCTGTGGGGTTTTTTGTTTTGTTCTGTTTTGTTTTTCTGCAGATGGCTGGATTTCTATAGTATTTCTAGTATGAGTACCAGATCTTGGCCTTTTATCCAACTTCAACAGTCTTCTTTCCACCTCCTGGAGAATAAATGGGATTTGCATGAATGCCACATTCTGAATTGAAAGACACGGACTGCATTGCTAATAGCCTTTTCTTCTGATTGTTATTAACAGGTAGTAACTCACCTCAACTAGAATGTGCCCATATGTTCTATTTGGGATAGGAATGTAGTAGTTTAAGCAGAACCATGATCATCTGCTGGAAAAAAATGTTTTTTAATGGAATCATTTTAAATAAATGTATTCAGAGTTTGAAGTGTCACTTTTTATGATGTCCTAACTTTTCAATTGTGTACTTTTCAATTAAAAAATATTTTAGTCAAGAGGGGGCATGTTTGTAAATCTAGTGATAGTCCAATATTTTAATTGACAGAATGGTAATTTTTTATTGTTTTAATAAAGTAATTTTCATAGATGCTCGTTACATATTTTTCCACATTTAAATTACTTGAAATTGTGCATCTTTCAGTTGCTGTGATTAAAAAGCATCGGTTTTACATTTTAATTGTAGCATATTTTCATTCTTAGTTTCACCTGAAATAATGGTAAATCTTAAAATTATTGTCACAGAGTCTGGTGGTAGTTTAAAAGTTTAATGTTAGGGGCATCTGGATGGCTCAGTCAGTTGAGCATCTGACTCTTGATATCAACTCAGGTCATGATCTCTCAGTTTGTAAGATCAAGCTCCCTGTTGGGCTCTGTGCTGACAATGTGGAACCTGCTTGGTTTTCTCTCTCTCTCTCTCTCTCTCTCTCTCTCTCTCTCTGCCTGCCCCCGCCTTTCAAATATTAAAAAATATGAAAATTTAATGTTATTTTGCTGCTTCTTCAGTTATCTAACCCTCTTATATAGTATCTGTCCCTGTAACATTGTCTAGAGCAGGCTGTTCTGAACTGGGAGCCATCCCCCACTGCACCCCTGGGGGTGCATTTGAGTATGTTGAGGGTTTGCGCACTGTTGGCATCTAGTAGGTTAAAGCCACGGATGCTGGTACATATCCTGTAAGGCACAGAATAGCCTCCTTCTATACAGAACTGTTTGTTCCAAAATGTCAGTAGTACCGAGGTTGAAGAAAACTTGCCCTAGAGATTTTTATGGATGGATTTAAAAAATTTGTTTAGGGGTGCCTGACAGGCTTGATCTGAGGAATGTATGGTTCTTGATCTTGGAGTTGTGACTTTGATCCCCACATTGAGTGTAGAGATTACTTAAATAAATAAAACTTTAAAAAATAATAAAATAATTCATTTATTTTTAGGAAGGATATCACATATACTTTTTTTTTTTTTTTTTTTAAAGAGAGTGTGAGCAGGAGAGGGGCAGAGGAAGAGAGAGCATCTCAAAAGCAGGCTCCACACTCACCACGGGGCTTGATCCAACAACGCTGGGACCATGGCCTGAGCGTAAAGCAAGAGTCAGACACTCAACCGACTAAGCCACCCAGGGGCCCCTACTTTGACTATTTTTGTGAACAAGGCACTTTGCTAGGATTGGTGGGCAAATCACAATAATTTGAAAATTTTAAAAATTCAGATCATGCCTTTTTTCCCCTAAATTTGTAATACCTGTTAGAGTCAGCAATTAGAAGCACCACAATCTTTTTTGAAAAAGCTGTTCCTGTTGCAAAGATAGTAGAATATTAGATACGTCTATCATTTTCAGTTTGGCAGAAAAGTGATAATATTGATGAATTCTTTGCGGTTTTTTTTTGTGTGGAACTTTACCTTTTTTGGAGGGGTAAGGGCGGGAGTTACCCCTAGACTTTTCCCAAACTCTCTGCCTCTTCTACTCTTAACTGATTTGGATGATTGTCTTCAGCTCCAGAAAATTAAATGTCGTCAGAAGACCGAGAAGCTCAGGAGGATGAATTGCTGGCCCTGGCAAGTATTTACGATGGAGATGAATTTAGGAAAGCAGAGTCTGTCCAAGGTGGAGAAACCAGGATCTATTTGGACTTGCCACAGAATTTCAAGATATTTGTGAGCGGTTAGTTAATAATACTCTCTTAAACAGATTTTTCTAAATAAAGGTTATTTTCGATTTCTTAGTGAACCCTAAATTATTTACCGTCTTGTGTACATAGGCATTGGTGATAGACGGTAGTATTACAGATTTAATGCATGTTCCTGTTTTAATTGAAAATTGGACTGAGGGTGCATAGTTTTCAATTTGATTTGCCTTTTGACCACTGAATTTGGATATTATCCTGTGTATTTCATGCATCCTAATCTTCTAACTAGCATTTTATCAGCTATGAGTCATTGGCTGTTAAACAGGGATAATAAAAGAGAAAATGACATCACGTACATGAAAACGCTTGGAAAGTTTTAAAAGTACCGTGGTGGTTGTTAATACTATTTGGTTTCCAGAATCATTTCAACTGCCATAAACCTGTGACATATGCTGTTACTCTGTGACCTTTTGCTTCAGAAACAAAAAAGCAAAAAACTGCCACTTTTGATATAAACATTCACAGAAGACTTTGACGCACACTATCTCAAAATGTTTCTACCAAAAAGGCATTGAGTAAAGAAAGTAAGTGTAATAATTAAAAATGAAACGTTGATTGTGAGAGTGTTGTGTGCTGTATCTTGCCCTCGAGCCTGAGATTGTGTTGGCACATGCTGGTTGGTCTAAGTAGGTCATAGCTCTTTGATAGACCTAGAAATCCTTTTCTCTAGATCGTGTCTTTAATCATCTACTGTAAAACAGCAGTAAGAAAAGAAAACATTGTTTATTACTTGCTTATTAGTGTTAGGAATAGTACTCAAAAGTATGTACAAGAGTAAGTTATGTGTCTTCATTAGAAATGTCATGGTGCTTAGTAGATTTTTCAGGGACTTACAAGATTTTTTTTTTTTTTTTTTTTAAGGTGGTGGCTGTGGAATTACCATTAGGAAATAGGAAATAGTGCTTTGGGGGAGGGTTTTATCCCCTCAGTTAAGCGTTAGTCTTTCTTGAGCACCTGCTCAACAGTAATGGACACTCAAGTGTTGACCAACTGATTCTTTCTAATTTTTGTTTTTGGTTCAGGCAATTCAAATGAGTGTCTCCAGAATAGTGGCTTTGAATACACCATTTGCTTTCTGCCTCCACTTGTGCTGAACTTTGAACTGCCACCAGATTATCCATCCTCCTCCCCACCTTCATTCACACTTAGTGGCAAATGGCTGTCACCAACTCAGGTTAGACCCGAAACTTAATTTCTCCTATCCATTTTTAGAAACTTAAAAAATCATCTTTAATTGAAGACTACTACCTTGATGATCTTGAATTCAGTGCATGAAGAACAAATGGCTTTGATTTTGTAATTTTTCCCCCTTGCCTTCGTGAATCCTAATAATGGTAATGAATTGAAAGTGGTGTTTTAGAAAGGAATGGCAGTAATTAGGATGACTGATCACTATGAATTGCAGTATGAGTACTTTTTAATCAAATATATATTCTTATCTTGCTGTTTTTCCCACTTAATCTTTATTATAATAGAGACTCTAAGGTCCTCCTCGTTTTCCTTAGATGTTGGTATGACTTTTATTTTTTTAGTTTCTTATCCATTCCTTAAATGAAAGATTTAAGTGTAATTAGGAGGGCTAAAATGGAGCTCATGTAGTCATAATAAACAAATAAGCTAAGTAAACAGAGAAAATGCTTTTATTTTTAGAGATCTGTATATTAATAACAAATAATTGTTGACTGGTCTCACATGGATGTATATGCACACAGATGGAAATGTGTATGATCCCTGTATCCTGTCTCACGAAGGCTTGAGACCTTATATTATGAACCTTGTATTATGAAGCCTTCATTTCCTACAGTTTATATATCCTTTTCAAGTAATAACCCCGACTCTTGATTGAGACATAAATATGACTTGAAGCTAATATAAAGCACTCTGAGATAGATAATGGATCGATAGCAGCTACTTTTCTAGAAGTCATGATGAAGATTGATAGGCTGATGTATATTAAGACGAAAGCTGTCAGAGTTCCTTGACCTCAAGGAACAGCTTGTCAGTTTTTCCTGTTGGATCACGGTGTTTTCATTCCACCCCACTGACTAGTCTAATCTTTGAGATGAGAGTGCTTTTGTAAAATTGAGCTTATGGTTTAAAAACTAAATTAAATTTTACGAAAGGGTAATACATGTAGAATGGAAAGGAGTATTATTACCTTACATTCTGATATCTGGGCCAGAGGCAATACATGCAAGACAGTGCATTATTTGCCCAAGAATGTCAAGGCCGTTTGACATTTAGATCACTGAGAGCTGACTGAATTATTTAGATATTTGTAACCTCATTTCTCCAGAGAGCTTTTGATACTTTGTATCCATGCCTGTGTACACACACTTTTTCACAAGCACAAAACAAGGACAGATTAACCGAGTGCAGGGATGCGGTTTCAGATTCCAGCCAAGTAGTCATCTACTTACTGCTGGCTTTGGGAGTGTGGGGAGAGGAGAGTTGTTGGCTACTTTATGTATTGCAGCTGAAATACCAGAGGGTCCTCTATCAGATAAGTTGTTAGGCATATAATTGATGTTTTAATTGGCCTTGTATTCCTTCTTGGCTCAATTCTTGTTGGTTGCTGGGCCCTGATTCCTTGACATTGTGAATCTCACCTGTTGATAGTGAAGTTGACACATGGTCCTGTCTTTCACTGGGTTGGGGTTGGTAGAAGGGAAGTGGGTTTAATCTCATAGTATTTTCCATAATGCCTCACCTGATATATATACAAATACAGTCTCTCTCTTGTTCTTTTCCTCTTTTCTTCCCCTATCCTTACATTTATGTGCACTCCAGCTGCCCCTTTAGAGGTTGGGTGGAGAAAAAAAGAGGATGGAGAATGGCTCTCCATTGCACTTGGTGGCTCAAGTGGCACTCAGAGCCCCCCCCCTTTTTTCTTTTTTAAGTTTTTTAATGTTTATTGATTTTTGAAGGAGAGAGAGAGTGTGAGCAGGGGAGGGGCAGAGAGGGAGTGAGATGCAGAATCTGAAGCATGCTCCAGGCTCTGAGCTGTCAGCACAGAGCCCGACACGGGGCTCGAACTCACAAACCATGAGATAGTGACCTAAGCCGAAGTCAGATGCTTACCCAACTGAGCCACCTGGGCACCCCATTCCCTTTTCATATTTAGTACATTTTATACATTTCAGCAGGTTTCTCAGAAGTATGACTGATCTTATAAGCATATTCATGTACATGTGAAAAAGCATTTTGAACGCTATTTAACATCCTAAGTTTTTAAGTTCAGGAAGTGTTTAAGTTCGTGTCTATATAGGGTTCAGTGAATGGCACTGTGCAGAGCAAGGAACAGAAAAAATGTCCTTTTTCACTTGTTATTTAAATTTACAAAATTTGTCTGCATCTGGAAGGCTTATTTTTTGTGTTTAGCTAAAAAGAAAAGCTGCTTATAATTCCTGAGCTCTACTTACCAATATTCTACATTTCTAATGGAAAATCCTCTTACATTTGCCTTTCAAATTGAACATACCACCTTTAAGGAGGGAAAGTCAAAGTAGTTGAAAATTTGGCCGCTCAGCTTAGGGAGTGTGAGCTTTCCCTGTGGCAGCCAAACCGTGTTGAGGGCTTATAATCGTGTCCAGGTTCTGTAGCATTCTGTCTGCCTTCATTAACCAGGATCTGCTGTAAGCCCGGATTGCTTAGTTAGAACCAGCTTATAAATCCAAATAACAAGGACTCTGAGGTTGGATTCTGTTCGTGATTCTTTCCCTTGAGTTGGCTTTTTGATAGGGCCGAAAGCTAGAATTAAAAACTTGGATGAGATTTTTTTAAACTGCTCTCTTTCTAACCATTATGCAGGGTACCTACAAGGCTAGGACTCCAGAGGAATCGAAATAGTCCATTTTAAAGCTAGATCTCTTTCTCCTGTGTGAAATGTGTAGCAGTACTAAAAGAACAAATAAAGAACAGAAAAGAATCCTCCACCTCAGTGGCTCCTATGTAAACCTGCGCTCCTGTAGAGTCTTGCCATGCCTCTTGTTTTCATGGTACTTCTTTTAGCTTCTGACTTTGTTTTCTGCTGTGGCTCACATTGTTGCATAGTTTGAAGTGGCACACAATATTCTCACTCTCTGTCCAGCACAGTTTATCACAGCAGTAAAACAAAACAAAACAAACAGAAACCATGTTAGGAATTGTAAGGGCCTAAGTTAGAAGTTAAAATATTTCAAGAGAAATGAGGAGTTGACAGTATCCTCATCTTTCCAAACTCACCAGACCCCTCATGTGTTCTCTCCTAGCTGTCTGCACTCTGCAAGCACTTAGACAACCTGTGGGAAGAGCACCGTGGCAGCGTGGTCCTGTTTGCTTGGATGCAGTTTCTTAAGGAAGAGACGCTAGCATACCTGAATATTGTCTCTCCTTTTGAGCTCAAGATGGGTTCTCAGAAAAAGGTGCAGAGAAGGACGGCTCAAGCCTCCCCTAACACAGAGCTAGCTTTTGGAGGAGCTGCTGGATCCGATGTAGACCAAGAGGAGGTTGTGGATGAGAGAGCTGTGCAGGATGTGGAATCGCTGTCGAGTCTGATCCAGGAGATCTTGGACTTTGATCAAGCTCGGCAGATCAAATGCTTTAACAGTAAATTGTTCCTGTGCAATATTTGTTTCTGTGAGAAGCTGGGTAGTGAATGCATGTACTTCTTGGAGTGCAGGCATGTGTACTGCAAAGCCTGTCTAAAGGACTACTTTGAAATCCAGATCAGAGATGGCCAAGTTCAGTGCCTCAACTGCCCAGAACCCAAGTGCCCTTCGGTGGCCACTCCTGGTCAGGTAATCCTCTGCTCTCTTCATAGCTGCCTCCTGAATCCCTTTCACAATCTTCTCAGGATTTTCCTTGCTAGGGCTCATTAGGGCAGGCCGAGGCCTTGGAGCCAGCCCACACATAGTTTCACTGTATACATCAAGAATGCTGTGGCCTTACCCTTGAAGCCAGAGTGAATGCTTCCTTTGCTGGGCTTGGAATGGGCAGTTCTTGGCAGAGATGAGTGTTAGAAAAGTAATTATAATGTGTTCCGGTGATTTACTTAGTTTATCTGCTGGGATCCCATCACCCCTGAAGAATCACTAGCCTGCCTTTGTGTGAGGTTAGGATCTGAAGAGCATATCTTTGGCCTGGGTCACAGTCAAGGACAGCATACTTGGTTTGACTCTTTTTTAAAAATCAACTTTCTTAAGCCATCATTATATCCATTTAAAACATACAGTTGGCTTAGCTTTGACACATGTGTAGACCCATGCAACCACCACCTCAGTCAGGGTCTAGACGTGCTACATTTGGTTTGATTTCAAAGTGAGATTGTTTTAATTCATGTGAACCTAGTTAGCATCAGCATTTTAAGGATCTCACCAGAATCAGAACCGTTTGGACATCATTAAACTTGGTTGTTTTATGTTTCCCTCCAGGTCAAAGAGCTAGTGGAAACAGAGTTATTTGCCCGTTATGACCGCCTTCTCCTCCAGTCCACCTTGGACTTGATGGCGGATGTGGTATATTGTCCCCGCCCCTGCTGCCAGCTGCCCGTGATGCAGGAGCCCGGCTGCACCATGGGCATCTGCTCCAGTTGCAATTTTGCCTTCTGTACCTTGTGCAGATTGACTTACCACGGAGTCTCTCCATGTAAGGTAACTGCTGGTAAGTTCTAACGGTGCGAACGCAATCCTCCTATCCTCTACCCCACCCCCCAAAAGCCTTATCTCTTCAATCCTTCCATTTGGAAGTGTTCATTCAACAGATACTTTTGTTTCAGTTACTGTCCTGTGTTCTAGGCTCTGGGAATATGGTGGTGACCAAATACCCTCATGGAACTTATATTTTAATGGGTAGCCAAACAAAACAATAATGATATTAAATGGCTATAAGTGCTGTGGAGGAAAAAAAAAAATAAAGCAGGAACAGAATATCAAGTGCCTTGAGGTTTTACTTAGGGAAATGAGGGGAAGGCCTCTCTGGCAAAGAAGTTTGAATAAAGAGTTGAAGGAACTAAGGACACAGCCGTGCAGATGCCAGGAACCATTATGGAGAAGGAATGGCAAGGTCATTTCTATCTATGAACATGTAATAATGTAGCTCCTACTTGGCAAATGCAGACAGTCTTAGCTGCCACTCTTGTTTCCATGGCATGTACATCTGATTAGTCATCAAGTTCTTTGTCATTGAGCCCAGGAAAGTCTCAGAATCTGCCTCAACACATAGCACTTCAGAAAGCCACTGTTTATTGAAGTGGACACAGGAGGTGGAACCTGTTTGCTAATTGTGATCTAAATAAGGATTGAGAAATCAGGCGTTGACCTCAGTTTAACTGGACTTTGATGGCTTAGTCTTTCTCAGACTAACAGGGATAATGATAATAGCTACTATTCATAGGGCTGCTGTCAGGTTAAAATGAACTATTGTAGTGCTCCTTGAAGTTGATAATGTTGTTAAACTGGTCTGTGACTAGATAAATAAATTGAGAGTTGGGTCTAGAAAGTTATAGTGATTTCAGAGTGATTTTATGTCAGATCTAATAAAAATTTAAGCTTGTGTTTTTTTTGCCTTTGTATTGTTTTTCTAATAAGATTCATTTGATTGTATTTTGTGAAAATACTAGTCCTTGGCAGAGTAGTGAGGGAAATACCAGTCCTTCAACATAGCTTGGGAACAGTGAGCTTATACATGTAAAAAGCAAAATGGTAGCCATGAATGCCATTATTACTGTAGTTATTAATTGCTACTATAAGCAGAGTGTCAGTATCTCAAGAAAGTAACCCTAAGGGCAGAATGAGTGAATACTTCCAGTTTGCCTAGAACACAGTCCTAAGTAGATACGGGCAGATGCAATGGAGAATTCACCAGAGTATAATAAAAGCCTTTGCTTTTTTAAATAAAATACTTTTATTTAAAGTATTTGCTTAACTTCTGTGACCTTATCATTGAGGGGCTGAAGTATATTTCAGGTATTTCATAACGTTTGTGGAAGAAATCAAAGGCTTGGAGGCTTCAGCAAAATTAAGCATCTCTTTCTGTATCTATTTATATCTGCATATCTATATATTAGATAATAACATATAAAATATATGAAGTACCAACAGTTATTTTGAGAACTTTAGAGCAATAATCTTTGCTCTTCACCTATCTGGGAACACAAAAGTGCTTTGGATTTTTAGAGGGATAAAAGTGACAGGATAAAAAGATACAGGTCTGCAGCTTCTAAGTAGAGGGGATGGACCCCATGGGAATTCAAATTACAGAGAAAGAAAGCTTCCCCAAAAGATCCACTACATAAAAAGGGAGTCAGACCTCTAAATAATATGAGGAAAATAAACTAATAAAATAATTATAACATGGTTGAGAGAGGTTTTCAGTGAACATACTGAAAAACTAAGGTAGTAGAATATGAACAAAAGCCTTTGTGTGCAAGTAAAGCCTTTGGGAATGGCTGCCCATTACATTTGAGTTAAGTGGTAGAGTCGTGCAGCCAGATAGAAGAGTATCCAGGGGAGAAGTTGACAGGAGGGACTTTGCAGTACCCGGGGGTGGTAAATCGTATTTGCTGACTTTTTTGTATACAGAATTGAAGAGTCTTTGCTCTTAAGCCAGAGATGCTTTTGTGTATTTCGTAGTCCTTGCTGTTACTGAAGGGTGAATGGTGCTGACTTCGTGGAAAATGAGTGTCTGTTTGGACCTTTGTGTCTTTTAGCTAAGTCAGTCTTGAACTGTATACCGCTAGTTGCTCAAACATGTCAAAACTATTAACTCAAAGTCGACAAAAAAGATGGCCTCTTATTCTAACCCCTTGAGCAAGACAGCTTCTCTAACTGCAGGATTCTTTTATGTTCTTTGTCATTTCTACATGTGTCATTTTTACCTAGTTATAACCTAAATATGCCTTTTTCTGGATTCTGTAATGAGTGTTTTAATTGAGTTGTCGCCATCTCATTTATAAGTTTTTAATAACTAAATATGTCATTAACTGGCTCTTTCACATGTTTTTCACTTGGACATTTAACTTGTTTGCCATTGTTAAATGCACTCCATGCATATAACTTTACTTTGGATTATTTCCTTATGATTGAAGTCCCAGTAATAACATTATTGAATAATCAAAGGTTATGACCATTTTCAGATGGTTTTTAGTCAGCTTTGCAAAATTTTATAAAAGTTAATTTTCCATTTCACTTTCCAGAGAAATTAATAGACTTACGAAATGAGTACCTGCGAGCAGATGAGGCCAATAAAAGGTTTTTGGAACAGAGGTATGGCAAGAGGGTAATTCAGAAGGCACTGGAAGAGATGGAAAGTAAGGAATGGCTAGAAAAGAACTCAAAGAGCTGCCCGTGTTGTGGGACTCCCATAGAGGTAAACGTTCTGGACAGACTTGGCAGACAGACTTGAAAGCTTGTTACGATTGCCTTAATCCCATTATTTATGACTAAGAAAACATGTTTATCAAACCTTCTTATTTGGAAGATGCAAATTCACTACTAAATACTGACCTTAAATGGATGTAGACTTCCCTTTCCAAAATGCTTTCATAAAGTGAAAATTATTCTCACATTGTATCCACATCAAAATGGAACGGGTTATGCCGAAGCCATAATAGAGCTACAATCAACTCTTAACTCCTGTACATGATCTAAAAAATCAAGCCAGACTTCCTAGAACTAATTATCCTGGAATTTAACACAACTGCTCAAGAAGTATACACTGAGGAAATGGCATTTTCCTATTAGTCTGAGCTAAAATAGACATTTAAGTCTATTGCTTCTTGACAAAATCCTAGTATGTTTTAAAATAAGAATTTATCTTTGCATTTGAATCTCCTATTTTAATCCGTTATATCTGAACTGAATCTGGTGGTGATTCTCCAGTTACTGCACTAAGGAAACTGGCATTCTGCTTAACCACTTCACACATGCCTGAGCCCTGTGTCAGAGTGGAGGACCTGATACCAAATGTTTACTTAGATTCCACTAAGGTTTGCTAAGTATCTAGTTGTAGGTACACCTGCTAAGTACTTTCTGTATTTTACTTGTAATGTATAATAGTTACAGCGTGTTACCTGCATATCTAAACCCTGCATGGGAAAAAGGAGAAGTCTAGAAGGATGTTGTACTGAATCTTTTTGGTATATGCTTTTCTCTTGTGCCTTAATAGCTTTGGTATTTTTCTCTTTCTGTCTTTTCCACCAGAAATTGGATGGCTGTAACAAGATGACTTGTACTGGCTGTATGCAATATTTCTGCTGGATTTGCATGGGTGCTCTCTCTAGAGCAAACCCTTATAAACATTTCACTGATCCTGCTTCCCCGTGTTTTAATCGGTACGTATACACAATCCCGTAGTCTCAGAAGCAGTTTTGGGGCCATTTTGCTTAGAGAATTCTCTTACATATTTTCTCACATATATGGACTTCTTTTTTCTTGGGAGTTTATGATGAAAATATGCTATGGGGAAATTTGATTTTTTTATCCTCTTCAACTTTTTATAGTGAAAAATTTCAAACATAAAGAGTTGAAAGACTATGATTAACAGAATACCTTCTACCAAAATGAAAAATTAATAATATTTTGCCATATTTATTTTCGAATACTTGACCCTAAATTGGAGATAACCTCTAAATATGTCCCCATGATCGGCACCTGGGTGGCTCAGTTGGTTGAGTGTCCAATTTTGGCTCAGGTCATGAATTCAGGGTTCGTGGGTTCAAGCCCCGCATCGGGCTCTGTGCTGACAGCTAGCTCAGAGCCTGGAGCCTGTTTCACATTCTGTATCTTCCTCTCTCTCTGACCCTCCCCTGCTCATGCTGTCTCTCTCTCTCTCAGAAATAAATAAAGAACATAAATAAAAAAAATTTTAAATATGTCCCCATTATCTTCTAAAGTAAGAAAGTTCTTGTACATAACAGTACTTAAATTTAATGATGATGGCATACTATTTTCTAATAAACATATTTAAAACTTCCCAATGACCCCTAAAAATAACTCTTAAAGCTGTTTATTGAGCTATGATCTAATCAAGTTCAAACATTTTATTTGGTTCTGTCTCTTTAGTCTCTTAATAGAGAATAGTTTTGCCCACTCTTTTTTTTTTGTTTTTATTTTTTTATTAACAAATTTTTTTAATAGTTTGTTTATCTTTGAGACAGAGACAGAGCATGAGCAGGGGAGGGGCAGAGAGAGAGGGAGACACAGAATCTGAAACAGGCTCCAGGCTCTGAGCTGTCAGCACAGAACCTGATGCAGGGCTTGAACTCACGAACCATGAGATCTGACCTGAGCCGAAGTTGGACGCTTAACCGACTGAGCCACCCAGGCACCCCTATTTATTTTTGAGAGAGAGCACACAAGTGGGAGAGGGGCGGTGAGCGGGGGAGGGTTGGGGGGGGAGACACAGAATCAGAAGGAGGCTCCAGGCTCTGAGCTGTCAGCACAGAGCCCAACGTGGGGCTCAAACCCACAAACTGTAAGATCATGACCGGAGCCAAAGTCAAAGGCTTAACCAGCTGAGCTACCCAGGGGCCTCTCCCACTTAAAAAAAATTAAATGTTTATTTATTTATTTAGAGAGAGAGTGCTCACACATGTGAGCAGGGGAGGGTCAGAAAGAGGAGGAGAGAATCCTAAGCAGGCTCTGCACTGTCAGTGCAGAGTCTGACATGGGACTTAGAATCACCAACCTCAAGATCATGACTTGAGCCAAAATTAAGAGTCAGACGCTTAACCGACTAAGCCATCCCCTGCCCATCTTTTTTTTTGGGGTGTGTTGAGGGGAGCATTGACATTTTAGAGAGTCCAGGCCACTTGTCCTGTAGAACATATTACTTTCTAGAATCCTATTTCTCCATGTTGTCTTTTAGTTACTCTGTCCTCTCTCCTGTAAATTGGCAGTTAGGTCTAGACTGAGTTTGAACATATATTTAGAGTAACATTTTTGACATGAATACTTTGTGAGGCGTGATGTGTACTACATCCTGTATCATATTAGGTCCATAATGTCAGGCTGTCCCATTGTTAGTGTGCTGCTCAGTTGTCTTGATTGTTCCATTGCAAATGTAAGTTTTCTTGGTGTGCCTTGGTGGCTCAGGGGTTAGGCGTCTAACTTCGGTTCAGGTCATGATCGCACGGTTCCTGAGGTTCCTGAGTTTGAGCCCCACGTCGGGCTCTGTGCTGGCAGTGTGGAGCCTGCTTGGAATTTCTCTCTCCTTCTCTCTCTGCCCCTTACATACTCCCTCTCTCAAAATAAATAATTTTTTTAAAAAACATAAGGTTTCTTTTTTGTAATTCATAAGTAATATCTGGGATGATTTCGTGGTACACTGCGAATATCCTATTTTTCAACAGCTCTCATTTCTGTGAGTTGATGACCTTTCTTAAGAGGCATATGTATAGTACTTAAAATCATTGGTGTTACCTAACTGTAAGAGAAGTTAAAGAAACAGGTTCTCTCTGTGAACCATTGTAAATCTAGTGTTGAAAATTAATTAATTTTAGGTAACATTGGAAAGAAAAACAAGTTGGCAACTATAAAGCATTCTACCAGTGGCGAATGCAAGGGTGATAAAGTGGAGTAGAGTAACTCACATGTGATAGAGTTACAGTGGTTTAGAAGAGTTTACCTTCTTCTAGATTGCCTGACTTCCCCAATCCTGGAGCATTCCATTTGCTGTATACATTGAGTATTGGCTGATACCCATTTCCCATTATTGTTAATCCTTGGCCTTAAAGAGTTTGTCTGGATCCGAAGAGGGCTATTCTGGTAAACTTTGAGACCGCTTGTTCAGAGGGACCCATTTTTTAGCCTTCCTCAGTGTAGGGATTGTGGGAAAGGAAAAGCTACACAAAGATGTTATCAGACGAGTGCAGAAAGTGATTTTGAGAGAAGGAAAGAGAGATTTTTCCAAGTGCATAAAAATGTACCTTATTTTATGCTTCCAGGTTGTTCCATGCTGTGGATGTTAATGGAGATATTTGGGAAGATGAGATTGAAGACTAGTTAACTCCTACTGCTCAAGATAAGGAAGTGGAATGGTTTACCCTAACCTTGTGTCAAGTACACAAAAAACTTGGCAGGATACTTAGGGTACCATTTATTCACTTATCCTTTGTAGAAGGTGTGGAAGAACAAGGTTTATATTTCCGTGTGGTACTACTGATTAAGGCACATGCACATGTTTTTCAGTGTAACATAGAGAAAGTTATAAGCCAAAGGTTCAGAAAATGAAAACTAGAGAATATTAAATACTACAGTGTGCCCGAAGCTCTGAATAGTTAAACAGTAAATATTTATTTTTATTTTCTTCCCTAAGCTTTAGGTGAGGAGAGGAGTCAAGAGTTAAACTTACAGACCTTTTTATCTGAAAGCATGCCTCTAGGACATTATGTGGGAGTCCCCTCAGTACTACTCCTTATGACTGGGGTAGGTAGAAAGAAGCCTTATGAAAATTGTACCAAGAGCCTGATGTCATTTAGTCCATGTCACATTCCCTTCACCCTAAGTTTCTGCCGAGTGACTTTTCTTTGGAGGAAGCCCTTTACTCAATAACTGATTGGATGACCCAGTGTCATTTTGATCTACTGCTTTTCAGAATAGAAATTTATAGATAATTTACAAAATCTTTTTATTGCCACAAACACTGTGGGTTAGCTGGTATTTATTAGTGGTATATGGTCCACTGGTTTTGAGCCGAGTCTAGAATTTAATGATAGTGGCTCAGAAGAATTTGAGTCCTATTCAGCTCTTCTGGGCAGTAGACCCTGGATTCAAAATGACTTGTCTTTGCTACCTTTTGTTCAACGCTCTCTCCCTTCACTCGTGCCCTACCTTCCATCAGTGAGGACAGTTTTAATATTAACTGCAGCAGCTCATATTTTTATTTCTGCTGGAATAGGAGAAAGCCTAATATATTCCCAAGCTGAACAAGCTGTATTTTTTAAAATTACCTCTATTTTGAACTCCACACCATTGTAGTTATAGTCGTGATTTTCTGAATTCTTTTCAAAGGTCGTCTCTAATGAGCTATGGAAATTTGGCTTCCTACCGTTTTTTGCAACAGCACTATTTTGGGGGATAATTTTGGCTTGATTCCTAGATCCCTGTTTCTGGATTTTGATGGTTTTTTGAAAAATTGTCTTTCCTTGTGGTTTGGTGAATGGCTTGGTAGCAAAATATTTTTTGAAAAAGAGGACAGAGGGATACAGCTGCAGCTGTGATGTTCTTTTTTCCCAATGTGTCATTGAAAATTGGGGAATCACTTTTAACCATTTTATGCGTGTGTATCCAGAGTCAGCGAGGACTGTTTCTGGATTGTCAACGAGGCTGCTTAATCTTAAAAATAAAAATAATTTAAAAATTGTCTTCTAATTAGAGCTGAGTTGCTGCTGTTCTGTCTCCAAGGCAACTGATAACATTTTTAAAAACTTGTTGGCATGTAACACATATTCTTCACGTGAACAGAGAAAAAGTCATGGAATAGCACCTGTTCTCTTACCCAGACTGGTGACTGAACTTAGGTTTTAGAGCCCACATTTTGTTTCAACCATATGGTTCATGAGCTTTCGTTTTGCACATTTTATATAAGAATTAAAGTTAATTTCATATATATATATATATATATATATAAAGTTTATTTTTGAGAGGGCCAGAGAGAGGGGGAGAGAGAGAATCTCAAGTAGGCTCTGCACTGTCAGCATGGTGCCTGATGTGGGGCTCGAATCCACAAAACTGCAAGATCCTGACCTGCGCCAAAATCTAGAGTTAGACGCTTAAATGACTGAGCCACCCAGGCGCCCCTGAACTAAAGTTAATTTCTTAAAGAGTTAGTTGAATATAACAAATGGAAATTAAAGCAATGGTACAGTATATACCTAAGAAGAGTGGCTTCGTGATGGAATGGGAATTCATTTGATATTTTTTCACTAGTAGCCACTCAGAAGTTTTTTTGTTCATGGGCTAATTGGTATTTGCTAGAGACTATTTTATTTTAGGCTTTTGTTTTTAATTTTTTAAAAATGTTTGTTTATTTTTGAGAAAGAGGGAAAGACAGCACACAAGCAGGGGAGGGACAGAGAGAGGGAGACACAGAATGTGAAGCAGACTCCAGGCTCTGAGCTGTCAGCACAGAGCCAGATGCGGGGCTTGAACTCATGAACCATGAGATCATGACCTGAGCTGAGGTCAGATGCTCAACTGACTGAGCCACCCAGGCATGCCTATTTTAGACTTTTGCACATTATGTTGATGATAAAGTGGAAGTAGGAAAGAAAGCTTTATAATGCACTTCTGTGAAAGAAATGGGAGGTTCCCTTTATGATTTTAAAAAACACAGGTGGTTAGTCTTAGACCTGTTTGTTCATCTGAATGTTTCATCCTTATTAGGTGCAAAATCTTGACCATCCAATTTTAACAAAGACAATAAATAGAGCTTATAAAGTCTCATTTTTGAAGCACATGTTACGAGGTAATTTTAAGATGGTACGGTTCTGGGTAGAGTACTTTTTTAATATATGTGCTGCCAAAGCAAGGACCATAGAGGACTTTTTAAAAACGTATTTATTTGGAGAGGAAGAGCGCACACATGAGTAGAGGAGGGACAGAGAGAGAGAGGGAGAGGGAGAATCCCAAGCAGTCTCTGTGCTGTCAGCACAGAGCCTGATGCAGGGCTAGATCCCATGACCCTAGGATCATGGTCTGAGCCAAAATCAAGAGTGGGATGCTTAACCGACGGAGCCACCAAGGCACCCCTTGGGTAGAGTACTTTTGTCTCTGAGTAAAATGAGAGATTGGGGTAAACACAAATGCCCTGTGAAATATATGAGTTTGTAGGAGGTTAATATATCAAGAAACTATATGATAGCACAAAGAGTTTTGTACCTAGTTTAATTTCATAAAGGCCTTTTGTTATAAGTGGGCGGAGATTTGTCATAAATTGACTTGAACCTCATGTACCTTTTGGTGGGTGCGAGAGAGCAAAGTGTTCCTGTGCAGATTGCCAGGTCGTGTTCAAAAGTGTAGTTTGAAGAGGCTGCGTCTCTTGATTTAAACAAAAGGTTTGAGTCTAGAACAGGTAAATGAAAATAAGCTACAAAAGAACTTTTAAAGTCAAAATACAAGTTTTGTGACTTTTTAAGGTTGTGATTGAACTGACTTAAGGACGCACTTTGTCTATTGAATTACATCTTGTCCCATTCTCTTTTGAAGTAAACATTTTAAGAAGTTGCAGATTTACAGAAAAATTGCAGAGGTAGTACAGAGTTCCCTTATTCCACACAGGCTTCCCCTCTTACTTGCATCTTACATCAGTATGATACAGTTGTCATAATAATGAACAAATATTGATTGTTATTAGTAACAAGAATCCATGCTTGTTTCAGATTTCTGTAGTTTCTTTCCTAATGACCTCGAGCTGTTGGCAGATCCCATTCAGAATACCACGTACTACATTTAGTCATCATGCCTTCTTAGGTTCCTTGTGGCTGGCACATTTGTCACATCCATTTTTATTGTTAGTATTACTTAAACAGCGATTAGATCTTGATGTACCTGGGTTGGTCAGGAGCTGAAACCTAGTCTTTTCTTTTTTTCTTTTTTTTTTTGAGAAAGAGCGAGTGAGAGAAAGTGTGCGCATGTGCATGCATGTACACATGAGCAGAAATGGGGGGGAGGGGCAAAGGGAGAGGGGGATCGAATCCCAGACTCCATGCCCAGCAAAAAGCCCAACATGGGGCTCAATCCCACGACTGTGAGATCATGACCTGAGCCTCAGAGTCGGACCCTCAACTGACTGAGCCACTGAGGCACCCCTGAAAACCTTTCCTTGAAGACTGATGACCTAACCCTATCAGACTCAGCCAATCATTGAACATTTTGTATGTTTGAGGTCTTTTTGTAGCTTTCAATCCATTATATCTCAGGACATTTCACTGGCTTTGTATGGAATTTTAGGCGATGTACGTGTTATGGTCATTTTCCAAATCAGCTTCATGAGGAAATCATGAAACTGGATAAGTATTTTGTTGTTGTTTTAAAATATTTTATTTTTAAGTAATCTCTATACCTGATGTGGAGCTCAGACGCAAAATCTTAAGATTGAGTCTCATGCTCTACCAACTGAGCCAGCCAGGTGCCCCTATACTGGGGAAGCTGATTAGACTGTGAGTCATCAAGACCCACAGGGCTCAGCACTGGCATGAGAGTGTAAGCTTGCAGTCTCAGCTAAATACTGAATCCAGTAAGTAAGCAATGTGTGGACACATCCCTTCCTGTTGAGGAGATGGATCACGGAGAAAAGACTTGGCAGCCACTCTCCCAGACATAGTATTGTTAGCAAGGTCATTTTTTCTTTAAGTTTATTGAAGTAATCTCTACACTCAACGTGGGGCTTGAAATCACCACCCTGATATCAAATGCCACACACTCTTCCGACTGAGCCAGCCAGGTGCCCCAGCAAGGTTATATTTTAGTAGTAGATGGTTCTAGTTTACTTTAGAAATCCCTTAATACACTTAAGATTTATTTTTGTTGTTTTTTTAAAATATTTTTTATCTATTTCTGAGAGAGAGAGACAGCGTGAGCAGGGGAGGGTCAGAGAGAGAGGGAGACAATCCGAAGCAGGCTCCAGGCTCTGAGCTGTCAGCACAGAGCCCAACGCAGGGCTCGAACCCATGAACCGCGAGATCATGACGTGAGCCGAAGTTGGACGCTTAACCGACTGAACCATCCAGGCACCCCTGTTGTTGTTAAGAGAAAAGTGGAGTTGATGAGATAGAATAATTATAAATCCATTCATATGGCTGACTGCTTTGGAAGGAAATTTTGGAGAGCCCACTAAGTACTAACTTTGTCATAAGCATCACCAGCAGGTGGCAGCAGTTTCCATGGTATAAAAATGCAGTAAATGATTAAGAGAGGAGCATTATGTTATTTTACTACAGAAACGGTCATTTCTGGGATTTTAATTTTCCCCATTGTGTTTTATTATAGTCTGATATCCACACTGGTAGGTGGAATGGCAGCTAATGAGAGCAGCAGGGTAGGAACAGCAGTGCTACCAAAAGCTGTGAGGCCACTTAAGACTATACTCGAACCAGAGTTGGCATCTCATTGTTACAAAGAAAGTGTCACTTATACATCCCCTGGTAAACAGATTATTATATCCGAAGCTCTTAAGTGTGACGGATTATTCCCAACACTGATACCATCTGATACTGGGAAGAAGAGCCAAACAGTCTGCTCCCTGAACTTTGGCTCAATAAAAAAAAAAATCGGCCAGCAACCCAGTCCAGGTCCTTTGTGGTCAGAGAGCTGACTGTGAGGATGTTTTTAACAAAGGTTAATGCTAATTATCCACCTGCAGCGTTCACAGTCCAGTCCTTGCGTAATGATTCAGGTACTAAAGATTTACCATTCCAAGGATTTGCATACTTCTCTGAGCCAGAGGACACCTAGGAGAGGTTTGTGCACACTGAAAACTTAGATTCTGATGCCAAAGTTGTAAATACAAAGTCAGCATAGTAACTTTTTTTTTCCTTGATTGGCTCTCCCCCCCCTTCGCTGAATCAACAAACTAAACTAATATTAATATATCAGTGAATGTGTGGAAATGTAAAAGGTGATTGTGTGTCTTATTCCCCTTCCATTTCTTGAAGCCTACTATGTTCCTAGTATTCATTCACTTACTTACCAAGTATTGGACACCTCATGATGGGCCTTCCTGTTTTTCTGGGTGCTGAGAATGTAGCCGTGAATAAAACACACCGAAATCTCCCCCCTTCTAAAGCTTTTAATTCTGGTAGAAGGAAACAGACACTAAGGAAATGCTATGGTTAATGAGAAGTGAAGTTGGTTGAGGGAATAGGGAGTTAGGGAAAGCGGAGTGATGTTGGATTTAAAAAAAATTTTTTTTTAAATGTTTTTTATTTATTTCTGAGACAGAAAGAGACAGGTGAGCAGAGGAGAGTCAGAGAGAGGGGGAGACAGAATCGAAGCAGGCTCCATGCTCTGAGCTGTCAGCACAGAGCCTGACACTGGGCTCAAACCCATGAACTGTGAGATCATTATCTGAGCTGAAGTCAGACGCTCAACTGACTGAGCCACCCAGGTGCCCCTATGTTGGAATTTTAAAGAGTGGAGAAGACTTCCATCATGATAGCCCTGGGACAAAGGCTTGGCAGTGTGGGAGTGTACCATGTGGGCAGCTAGGAGAAGAGAGTCCAGATAGAGGGGAGCAGCTGGGGCCAGGACCCTTGGAGTAAGAGCGTATAGGTGGGCTCCAGTAACAGCATGGGAGCCAGTAAGAGCTGAAGAGAGTAGTACGAGGTGGGATGGCAGAGGCCGACTGCTTGGACTTGGCCTTCTGCTCTGAG